GAAATAAACCGCCATTCCAAATGTTTTTTTTTCTGCGCAATAAATATAAAAATCGAAAGCAGCTTTCAAAAACAGATACGGATTCTTTTCTAAGCTGCCAAACATTTGAAAAAAAAAACACTCAAACAAATGATTTAATCTTCCTTGAGAGTGACGGCACAAAAATTTTTTTTGATGAATTTGCTTCAACCATAACTTTTCAACATTCTGCAGAGGGATATCTCTTGTAGTGTAGGCGGCTGGATTCCACTTATCTGGTATAGTAGGTTGTTTTGGGCGTTATATATGAGTTTTTTAAACAATGAAAATTTGGATTTGTTTTTCCGCAGTATTTATACAAATACTTTTGTTCCACTGGAGCACAAAATCGCAGAGTTCAACGTGAGTCGAGCTTCCTCAATAAAGAGCTCACAGGGAAATGCTCCAACATCAGCAGCGTGCTATTCTAGCTTGGTAAGGCTTTCTAGATTAAGTGATGCAAGTTGAATCTTCTTTTCATAAATGAGGCTTTGTTATGAGCTCGGTTCGAAAACCGTATGCTTATGACAGCTGTCAAAGCACATCAAGCAAGATTGTATCACCTGACATATGTGATTAATTTGAATTGCTTTCTACTGAAAACCAATTTGAAAGCATTCTGGGCCTTTATCAGTTTGTCGAAGGAATGAATCAAGTTATCCAAGTTGGAGCTGTTATGAAGTATTTATAGTAACTTGGACTTTTTGTGGCAAAAATTGTTGGTTGTTTTATGCAGCGCGAATTTGGCTAAAGAAAGTAAAACCTTTGATACTTGCTAACTTCTTAGATTCTGGGTTATAAGGTTCGCTGTACGCTTTGATTTTCAATTTAAAGCTCAATTGTTTGTCTATGAGCCTAAATAAACAATCAAACTGCCATTTGTTTAAATCTGAGCCTCAATAAACAATCAACTGTTTTGTTAAAAAGAGGCGTTCGTGTCTCAAAACAGGAGAACAACGCAACGCTTTTGAACTACAGCACTTTTTAGACTGTAACTTTTACCTTGTTTCTGGTAATTATAACCGGATGGTGTCGCGGGTACCTTTTTTGTAAAAGTGTCGGATGCATAAATATTGCGATTATCTCACAAAATTTTCATTATGAAGTTGTCATTCTTTCATCGTCATTCCAGAGATCTCAGTTGTGTTTCAGTTTTAAAGTAATTTTTGGCATTGTTATGTCCGCCTTCCAAAGCAAGTTGATTTGCTAGCAAATTAAACTCCATCAGAATGATTGCTTTGTTTAACTGCTCGTCTGTAGATGTTTGATCTAGCGGATGATTAAAACCTATCTCAACAAATTGCAAACATTATCCGGACTGGCAACAGGGGCTTTCAGTCTTTTCTTTCTTGTGATATGCCGGCAATCGTGGTTCGGTTTTGCGATGTGTATTTTATCAAACATGAACATTTCCCGCCGAGTGGACTGATTGTAGAGAAGACATAGCAGATGTAGAGTTGAAGGGTCCTATGGGTTACCGTTGAGTTTTGGAATCTTTTTATTAGTATTTTTGAAACCTTTTAGGTCGTTTGAAAAGGATTGATTCTGTTGAGCTGTTCTGACCAGTATGGTGAAAACCATGATCGACTGGCGTTGAGCATTTTGAAAACATTCGATCGACAGATTGCACATCGAAGCCATTAGTGCTGGTCTGTTGTTCTGTAGTGTTGGATTCGATGGCTTTTGTCGATTCCCAGAGATCTCTGATTTTTTACGGGAACCAGGTTAACGTATTTAATTTCTTGTTGTGGTCGTTATGATGGCCGTTGAATATGTTGCTGCGTTGCCAAATGATCGGTTCTGGTGTCCATATTTTTGGCTTATATGACCAGTACGATCCTTGTTGACATCTCAATCAGCTTATAACTCTCTGACAAGAAAAAAAATCAGACATGTCAAATCTACTTGAAGATGTTCCGCGGTGATTACTGTTTTTTCTTTCACAGTTAGTGGTATCACAACTTGTTTAACTTGTTTTCGATATCAAACCTCTAAGACCGGTAATCCTTATACTTTTTCGCGAAACTTAAAATTAGATTGAGAGAGCATAACCTTGGAAAATACTAAGAGTATAGTTAAAGTAATAAGTAGTAGGTAGCTTGGTATTGAATAAACACAACGATAGGTAGAAAGCAAACAAACGGGTGTTCAGTCCAAAAAAGTTCGAAAATAGTTTGAACTCATAGGACGGATACTCGGGATGGTTTGACTCATGCAAGATCTCGTATCCTTCGAACCGCTCTGGCCCAGATAGTAACAGTTCATAGAAGTGCAACTCGCCCTATTAGAACTCGGTAACAAGTGGATGGAATGGGATTAAGTTTTGGTATGTTACAGACCCAGTTGAGGGATGGTCAAGTTTAGAATCCTGAGCCCCTTTGAACTCTGATTCCGGCGCTATGTCTTAAGTATATACTGTTCATCCCGATTTCCGGAAGTTGTTTCTCGGACTCAAATGAACTCAGGGAGTCAAAACTTAGGCATAAGGCAAGTTATGACAAATGACGTCATGTATAAGAATTTGAAGCAAATGCATTGGTTGAGCATTCGGGGAAAAACATTCGGGGAAAAATAACCAATAGGCTCTAGCTCAGCTCTATCTTAGACAACTATATAATTTGTATTCTCGGGATTGAGGCAAATTTTACGCTAAAAAATGAGCCAAGGCCTTGATTACATAGATTTCTAGTGAATAAAACCTATCCGGTGACTCCTTCCGGTGTTATTAGTTCTTCCCGTAAAAATATGGATGGACGTTAATAATGAGATAGATAACTTGGGAAGTACTGATGGGATATCGATGAAACTTGATAAACCAAATTAGCAGTAAACCCTTCTTAGTGCAATTGCTTTCGGTTGTCTGAAACAATGCAGGTTTGATTTAAGCTAGTCAAATAAATTTTTTGCTGTTCGTTTCTTAAAGTAAACAAAGCAATTATTTTCGGCAAATTTAGATCTGTTGTTTATCTACTAAGTATATAATTTCCCCTTTCTTCAAATTTGAAATACGGAGAAAACTATCATATTCTAGAACTCTACCAAAAGTAAGTTCAAGCAATAAACATAGCCAATCGAAGATTGGAAAAAATTAATGAACACAAATAAACAAAAAAACAATGACTTTCTTGAAAAGATCTCAATTTTGATATTCAAACAAAAAAATAGATGCGCTTTCAGATCTTCGAGTTTCTAGAACAGTTTATGATGGGCGCGTTTTTGATAACATGAACCCAACTAGAGAAAACTGGATCAATAGATAAAATTTTCACTCCGCTAGAAATCTACAAATTAAGTTCCATCTCCGTTCACGTTTTTTTGCGCCATTTCCACGTTCGTATTTGGAGAGTGCTATTTACGTCAATTTCAGCCGACGAAATTCAATTGAACTCAAAAAGTGCATATATACCTAAGTGCATTCTTAAATGCATCAATATGTATGAATGCACATCTGTAGTTATTATAGACTTTTAAGACTTTTCCTGAAAAAAAGCAAAAAAAAAATCAGCAAGACCTATATTAGAGTCTTTTCACTCGAAATTTCGAGTTTTTTTTGTATACTAAGCCAAGTGCAATATTGGATGTTCAACTATCTCATTTGATGTTATGATTTTCACAAAAGATTCTGCGAAGCGGTAGAAAACTAGGCAAAAGGTAAGACTGCAGTTATTGAAATTATTTGAATATTTGTAGGATTTTTTTTAGCTCAGCGATGCTTCTTTGCTTTTGACCAGTATCAGAATTTGGTCAGATTTTTTGCTGAGCGACCCTCTTGGTAAAGTAAATTTTTCTTCTCAATTAATTTTTTGCCGTTCTTTCAGTGAATGTCAATAAACAGATAATTTTTTTTATTAACGCCATGTAGTTTTAATTTTTTCAGAAAACGAGTTGAAAGTTGTTCATGCTGTTAACTGGTTTCGCTAATTCTTAAAATTTTCGCATATATGATTTGCTTCGCTAAAAAAGATCAGCTACAATCGGATTAAGATCAAATTTGTCGCGATCTTTATTGTTGCTGTACTGACTTGACTAACTTTGAACAAGAATTTAGTTTAATCGAATCTATTGGAAAAAATAGATGTACTTTTGCTGAAACAAAACAAAAAGTAAAAAAGCGACCATAGCACTTGGAGTGTAACACAAATTTGGCACGGCTGCCGCAATGCAACGTCAAGCCAAACATTGAACAAATGAAATGAAAGGAGTAAGGATAACTAAGACGAAAACAATCATTCATAGGTGAGTTTGTTTACAAGTTTATATTCATCGTTTTGCTATTTGTCTTTATTATTGTCGCTAAAGTCGTCGTTCTTCGTCACCTGGACGAAATCCCCGCCCATCTTCCTTTAACTGATTCGTAAATTGAAATCCTGTCAAAAATAGGCTATCGATTGATTCTGATGCCCTCCAATTCGAGATTCGCCTCGATATTTTTGAGCCGCAGCCAAAACCAACAATAGCTACCGAAAATATTTCGAAGAGCTGAATAGACAAATAGAAGATCCCATTACTCATAAACAGTTGTTGTATGGTGAATACAGACTTTTTATCGTACTATTTAAGGATTAACATTGGGGGGATAAGTGATGTTTTTTTCGGCGGGCAACGACGTGCGAAGGAAATTGAGTAAAAGACCAGCAACCGACGAAATATATCAAGCTGTAATGGTAAGGAAACGAAATGTAAGTTAAGTTAGCATGAGTCACTCCAAGAGGGGCTGTTATAACGTCTATTTGTTACAATTCGTCATGAAGAAAACGGAAAACAACGACTACCGAATTTTCTTCCACTCCGACATAAAAAGTCTCCAGTTAAGGTCGTAAAAAGAATATAACATCGGCTGCAACTACTGGCAAACGTATAATAATAAACATTTAACATCAATGTTACGGTAATACAACCGACAACGATATAACATGGAAAATCTTTTTGGGGCTTAAAATGGATAAAATGGCTGCTTCCGCATGGTCAGAATGTTCCGATCATCAACTTTTCGAGACTTCATGCACCAATGGTTTAGGGTGGGCAGCTGTGGTAGCTGAACTACTTGGTACTGAAACTGGGGAGCTTCTAGAAACGTTGTGATGCTTCGTGTTGACAGCCGGTTGCTGATTTGTGTCTTTGTTCTCTTTTGAATTATCTTTAGACTGAGTGTAACAGCCGTTTTCTTTCGACACAGATGGTAATTGTGGCTGCTTCTTTACATTTACAGCGCCTGATGATGTTGAATTGGCTCCCATAATTTGGGCACCGTTTGACCCGTTTTGATGCTCGTCTTTTTTGCTACTTTGCTTCAACATCGGTGACGGTCTGTAATACTTGGGAACATATTTGTCAGAAAAATGTTTCTGCATTTGATAATTGCTGTTGCTGTTACTGTTTCCACCTCCTCCGCCTTTTCCATTGTCACTCGTTCCGTTTGCACTTGCGTGCGCTCCGGACAACGTCGACTGTGATGATGGTCCGTTTGCCAGACCCTGGTTATTACTGGAAACTACGATTGAAGGGTTCTGGCTTGGATGAGTCATATTAGAGTTAGCACCAGATGAAGTTGTAGAGGAGTTATACTGTAATCTACTATTTGAGTTTGTCGATCTAGGGACGTTGGCATCCATGCCTCCTTGATGCTCAGATTGCGACATCATTTTCTTTGCCATTGAGGCACCATAGCCCTTCCCAGAAGACGGAGAGATCGCCCTCTTCCTGTGCATCTGTTCAAGCGAGTGATTGTGTTCTTCGATCGCCCTTTGATGTTCTCGAACTTCAGAAGGAGACAGTTTTGGAACCTTATTGACCGGCGGCGCGGAAGACACGGCGGCACCTGTTGTCGCCGGTGGAACCCGTTGTAAGCTGGAACTGAAAACTGAGCTGGGCTGTCGAGATTCGTGCATCTTGTTGCCTGAATTCATTGAGCTTGGCAACGTGAGAGGTGTAGTTCCCTGCATCTCATTAACGCTTCTCTTGTTGAGGTAACTGTTTGCAACTGCCGCAGCCGTTGCGTTCGAGTGTCCTGCTTGAATCAAACTCTGTTGGAGAAGCACTTTACTCTTCTCTCGTTCATTAGCGGCCATCGCATTTGCTTTTGATGCTACAACTGCCGGATTTGCTTTGAAGTAATTCACAGACTGATGTTGAGCCAGACGATTCGCTTCCTGGGCTGCAGCCTGAGCAGCTGCCGAGTTTCCGGAATTCGCTCCAACTGAAGAATGCAGGTTGTACAATACATCTGCAGTTAGCTGGTGCTCTTTTCCAGCAAACCCTGGGTGCAATTTGAGAAGTTGATCTAGATGCTGGTATTCTGCCAGTTTCTGAAGTATCATCGGGTCTGATAGTTCCAAGTGTCTAGCGTAATCAGCAGCCGATACTGACCCATTAGTAAAAGATGCCTGACTTACAGCTGCAGCGAGATGTTGAAACGCTGGAGCATGCGACCCAGTTGGTGGTCTTAACGATGAAGATGTGGTGGGCGGAGGGGGAGCCCCTGGGACGGTTCCAGGGTACGGCCAAGGAGGCGCAGCTCCTCCCACCCCCACTGATGATAGAAGCGGCCAGTTTATTGGGTGATTTGAGGGCGCTTGGGGAACAAACAGCTGCTTGTTTGCATTTTGGTGCGGGAGGTAAAGTTGCTGCAACTGTTGTTGAATTTGCTGATTCTGAAGAATATACGCGGATAATTGGGGATCTAAAAGTGCCTGAGGAGGCAAATTTGGGAGGTTTTGGAGTGCAGCCGCTACGGCTAGCGCTCCATTTGCGTTCTGAGTAGCGGCATTTTGCGCTGCTTGTATGCTCTCTGCCCTTCGCCCCGAAACATTCATGGACGTGGAGGATGGAGGCGGTGCATTGGATGACAAAGCACCATTTGGGGGAGATGTCCTATGCTTGTTTTTATGAGCTGCGTCCATATTTTGCGATGTCATGTAATCAGTAGCCAATAGTTCATTAGTCAGGGACTTAATCGAAGCTCCAATGCCGCCGCCGCTGGTAGTAGTGCTCGGTATGTCGAGAGCGCCCGCTCGTTGTTCTCGCAGTCTCAGAAGGTCATTTGTGATCAAGAGAGGATTGCTGCCATTTAGTCCATTCAGCTGCATCATTCCAGTTGAGGAGTGGAGCTGACGCGCGGCTACTGCCAGCACCTGTTGTTCTGGTGTCATTTCCGACATGAGCGAGGGATATGGCACTGGGATACCCTGAGATATGGATCCGCCTAACGTCACTGCTGTGTTATTTGTGTAGTTATTAACCAGCTGTTGCATTTTCTCCTGCTTGTTCACTAAGGGCGATTTGCGATCATGGTGCGCGGCGGCGGCGGCGGCGGCGGCGGATAGTTGCGATGGGATGTGAAGAAGCGGGGGCGGAGCCGGCGGTGCGTTTGAAGTTCCCTTTGAGCTCGGCCGGCTGTGACTGTTCAACGGCGTTGGTGATATCGGACTCGTTTTGTCCAGAGGGTTGCGCGTGGAGCCTCCGCTTGAAGGCGAAATCGCAGACAGATTTGTCCCACTGTGCTGTAAATCTATTCTGAGCTGCTTTGAAATCGGACCTTCAATCGCCTCCCCATTGGCCAAGTTGCTTCTTATCTGAGACTTCATCATGTCAAGAGCTGTTTGCTTTTGACCTCCGATACATCCCCCTTTCAAAGCGGCGGGGGGCGACGACGAGCCTCCTAGGTTGCGCTGCGAATGCATCTGAAGCTGTTGACAATCAGACGGTACATGTCGCTGGAATAAATTATGATTGTGTTTCACATTGTAGTTGGGATTCAAGTCACTGAATAGCTTTAAGATGGGAGTTCCTGTCAAGTCCATATCTTCTGGGCTCACTTTGCTGTTTATTCCTTTACTGATTATGTCATCTATAGTGAGTTGTTTACTGTTATCCCCGACAGAATTTGAAGCGGCTGAATTATTGGCGAAAGCTGAAACATTAAGGCATGCACTTAATGACTGGACAAATATACTTTCTGGTAAATCAATCATACCAACTTTTATTCACGCCTAACAAACAGTTTCACAATGTACAGCATCATCTTAAGACTGACGTCAGACTTAAAATTCACAGTGGCTAAAATGTAGTAGCCTAGACAGGCTGAAATGAATATCATTTGAACTGATTTGTCGTGAAAATATCAAATACTTCGAATCAAGTACACAAGAACAGTAGCGGATTTAGGAGGGGGCGGGGGCGTTTGCTTCCTTTGTAGGGATCGGACCCCTGCCGACCCATTGGAAACCTCCTTTGTACTATTTTACCATATCCATTTTTGGCTGACTGACCCTAAAATTTTTCTAAAGGCGCCTTGGGCGCCAAAATATAGTTATTTCGAGGGGGGAGCGCGCCGAAAAAACGCCATTTATGGTCAAAATTTTCCAAAAAGTGCCTAAAATCGCCTTTTTGACCTGTTTTTTTTCCAAAAATTTGCCTGTGGCCGAGGCGCACAAAATTTGGTAAAAATAAGGTCTTTATAGTGATTTGGGAGAGCTCCGAATATCAAATTTGTTCGCCTAAAAAGAGGTCAACAAAATTTTCGAATTTTTTTTTTTTTGAAAATCTGCACCCCTCGAGAAAATCATAAATCCGCCCGTTCTACAGAATCTTACATTAGAAAAAAGTCAAGGCCAAATTTTTGAGACATTTTGACATTCAGCAAAACCATACTTTTGAATTTTTAGCTTGGTTTTCCAAAGACGGTTTTTTGTGTCGATAATTTAAAAAACGTAAAACTTATCGGTAGCCGCCGATAATAATTTCCTACAATAGATATCTCCGGAACATAATAAAGGAGAATTCAAGTTCAATTGAAAGATTATACCTTTAGAAAACACTGGTTGTGTGGAGACACTTGAGCTGACTATGCCGATATTGTTGTTGTTGGGAACTGCGGCGACAGGGGATCCGTCTGCCAACGTGTACTTCCTCATAATGTGACTCTTCATTTGTGCGGGAGAATTACCGCCGCCTTCAGTTGCGGTCGTTGTATTGGCGGAGCTCAGTTGCTGCGGGTCGTCCGCATCGTCTGTTAAATAGTCTGTATCGTCGGAACCTGCCTGATGGTTGGTAGCTCCTCCTGATTCAACCGTGGATCCCGTTCCGTTTCTTCCCGAGGCCGAATGGGAACCTCTTGTTGCGTTAGAGCTACTACCGATCCTGTTTCGTCTACTTGCGACCTGAAATCGATAAAAAATACATTCATAAATATGTCAAATTTCACTCACAATCCAAGACAGAAAAACCCAATTCTTCAAAAATGTGAAGAGACAATTTGTTTCTTCCCAGACGGGTTGCATGAATTGATCATGCTTAAACTTATGACGAAGAATGATGTCAATTAGCGGCTTAAAAATGATAATTAGTAATACAAAACCCGGCTTTTTATGACAACCAGACGAATCTAAGGCCAAAGTGTTACCCGAAGACGGTTTTTCTTATGTTAAAAAAACTAGTCTTTTGATTCTCATCCAGTATTTCTACCTTTATACTGCTTAATGGAAACTTCCGAAGAAACATCAAGACAATATATTTTTAGAATTATTCATTTAGATTGCTTTTACAATTGACACCCCTAACAAAGCTGACAAAAAAAACTCACAAAGCGCAGTGAATTTCACTCTTCCCAAGTCGATTTACAGACAGTTTTTCGGAAAAATCCCCGCAGCAGCATTTTAGCAATTTTGTCCTAGACACTACATATGTCACAATCTTGGGCCAGTACATGTATTTTTCAACATATAATAATTTCATTAAAAAGTGCCAATAACCGTTTTGACTATGTTTTGCATGTAAATTTGAAGTTTGCGACAACCTTAAGACATTAACTGTCTCAAAAATTAGCTCTTGCAAACAAAAAATTTCCAAAATGCAGGTTCTTTTTAATGAACTTATAGAGAATAGCAAAAAATGCATTAGAAACATTAATTAAAATAAAGAGCAAATGACCTATTTTAGAAACCTTTTGCATGCAAAAACTAACTTTTCAGTCAGTTAGTAAGACTCAATGACAACTAAAAACTCAAAGTTGCATACCAAAAAAATTGCTCAAATTGGCATATTGCTTTTTCAAATTAGTTTTGTCTGTTCAATGTTTTAGCTACTTGTTTATATTATAAATGTTTTATATATTTTTATATTATAAATGTATTAGCTACTTATTTATATTATAAATGTATTAGCTACCTATTTATATTATAAATGTATTAGCTACTTATTTATATTATAAATGTATTAGCTACTTATTTATACTATAGATGTAGTGTTGCATACCGTGGTTTTGGTCCACTCTGAAACTAGGTGGTGTAACTTGTGGCTGTTCTCTAGGTAGAAGTGCCTGAGTTGTCTGTCTGTCTTGGAGGGTATGGCAGCTCCCAGTCTCTCCCAGTCGAGGCCGTGGTTCTTCAACACACTCCGGTACCTTTCTTCTTCCTCGCTAGTCCACGCTACACTGCCACTGGCCGCCGCTGAAATACAACAAAACTTCATCGTCAGAATCAATCATTATCATCATGAGTTTGACCCTATACTCAGTCAGTTAGTTAATCGGCAGTGAAGAATTTTCATTTCTCTGCCCATCGCACGTCGCCAAAATATGAATTATATAGCTAACAGAAGGATGGATAAAAGAACTCAAACAACCCGAAAAAAAGTTGACTAGAAAGTTTGGAAATTTTCAAATTTAAAAATATATCAGGTTAAAGCTCTTTAAATTTCGATAACTGGCGCTAAGATTGGCACTTTTATCTTAAACTTAACCCAATTTAAGAAACCTGGATCAATGGGTATATTTCTTACTCCGCTGAAAAAACTTCAAATTAAAATTCACTTTCGAAACTAGAAATCGATCATGTTGTTGCACTCCATTTCCATTTCGTAATTGGAGAGCGCAATTTGCCTGCTTTTTAGCAAACTACCTTTAGCAGTAAGATGATTTTACAATGCATCACTAGATCATTATAGATGCACACACTTAAAAAAACATGTTCTCTTCTTTTAAAAATTGATTTTTTTGCATTGATTTTTTTTATTAAATGTGTTCCAACCGTAGTTCTACAATATACAAAGAGGCGAAGCTGTCCTTCGCAAACACAAGCGAGAACACGAAAAACAGCAGTTCTATAAAGTGCAATAAGAAAAAATAGAAATAAGCCTCGACTTAGTTAAAAAAAAATTCGGCTATGTCTCGGATTCGATCTGTGATCTAGAGATTATGAGTCTCACGCACTAACCACTCAGCCGCGGACGCTTAATAAATCACAAACATTAACCACAAAAAAACAAAGAACGTATGTTATGAATTTGTCAAGGTAACAGATCGTGATTATAGCAAAAGTTCCACCAAATACCTGAACACTTTTCATGAACACATTAATTTGCGAGCTAGGTTGGAAAAAAGTAAGATTCGCAATAATACACTATTTCTTGCATGCTCGTTAGGGTAATCAGCAAGTGATTAAAATCTTGGATAAAACTGGATTAAGAGCCATTTTTCTTTAACTCTCGCTGGGATATCTAGACATAGCAAACAGATAGCTAAATTTTTAAAAGATCAAAAATACTAAAAACTATTGATTTTTAAGCATTTGCTATGAAAAAAGATAATAGTATAAAGGTCTTGAATCTTTCTAATTTTACAAGATCTTTCTCGTCTTTCTCATTTGAAAAAAAATGAATCATTAAGTAATTTAGTTTTCCGCTAATGAAATCTTAACTATATTTTTTACTTTTGAAGCAAAAATTCAATCATATTTCAAGTGCTGTTTACACTTCGTTATTGAAGAGCGTAATGTGCCTTCCGTAGAACAAATCAATTTGAAATGAAATTAAAAGGCAAATTTGACCAGTAACAAAACTTGGGTTTTTTCCTGGAGAAAAAATTGTTCAAAAAAATAAAATGCTTTTTCGAAAAAAAAAACAGCCAGTTAATATTTTTGCACCATTTCTACTTATATTTTATTAGAGCGTTAATTTAACCTCCATTTCTGAATAAATCAAAAAGTAAGTTGAAAAAGAAAGGTTAATTTGAGCCTCACAAATAAAAAATGACCGCCGAAAAAACACACGAACTAAATAAGAGAATATTGATTCATTGACATTTAATATTTCAGTTCAAAAATTCGATTAAAAACTGGGAAAAAGATTAAATTTTATGCTCTATGTTAATTAACCTTTGTTGAAATTTCCACCATTATTTTTAGAAATCATCCATGGCAGCATGTACTTCAGATGAAACTAATCTATAATAATAGCTGATATCGCCGAAAAATTATCTTCACAGCATCAAGAAAAGTTCAACAATTTAAAGAATTACATTTCCTTTTAGCGGAAATCAGGCTTTCCCAAAAAAAACTAGCAGGAACAGCGATATGTCTGCTTTTAATGCAAAGCAATTAATATTCGCTCAATAATTTACTTCCTGCGAAATTGGCTGATTAAATTTTTAATACTAGCCTCGATGTTCGAGTATTTTCAGTTGCTACTTGGTTTTGAAAGGAAGCGCAAAAAAGTGATGTCCTGGTTGGAATTGAATTCGTCAGGATATACGTCTGCTTACAGTGAAACATAGCTCTTAAAAGGAAATTTGAAATGCTTATTAGCCATGTAACCTTTGTTCACGTCAGATAATACTACCTTTGAAAAAATAGTTTCCCTGCTTAAATTCAATTCAATTTGGAGCTTAGAAACACAGCTGTAGTTTTGAGCCTTTATCCGCGAAGCTAATTTGTAGATGTAGATGTTTTCTACAGGTTTTGAGGTTCTTCTTCATACCAACGTTTTAACTTGCCAGAATATAATCGTGTCATGTTTGTTTTTAAGATCATGAAATCTATCATAAAATGAATTTCAATGACCACCTATCCAATACATGTAAAATGACCATGAAACCAGCGCCTCATCTCTTAAAAGCAGCCAATATCTTTGTAAGAAAACAATACCACGTTTTTAATTTTTCCGGCCGCAAAATCAGGCCATCCCTATATCCGTTCAACTTCATCATGTCTATCTAGTCGCCTATTTTATTTCAAAAATCACCGAAAACCTTCTCAATTCCAAGTCTATTAACATAACATTTGGAACGCAAAATGCATTCCGTTAAAAAACTATAAAAAACTATCCATTTTTTGTAGCTTACAATTTCAAGATGATTGACTTTTTTTCGAGAAAATTGGAACAATGCGTAATTTTTTATCACCGAGAAATCTAAAATCTCACTTACAATCATGCTTCAATTTCCACGAAAAAAAAAACAGAAAAACCACTTGACCAAAATAAATGAGAGTTCACTTCGTTTATAAACAATTTAAATCCGACCACTATTTGTTCTAAGACTCACCTTCTTCAGCTGAAAACGCTTGAGCTGCACCCTTGGCCGATGAGTTTGGCGACACCGAGGTGCTTCCCGACTGTGGATGTTGGTGTTGGTATGAGTTTGACTGTTGGTGCGACTCCTGTGAGCTCGATGAGCCTATGACGTGTTCTGGGTCTAGCAGCTGGGTTATTCTATTGTAGCAATGAGCACAGGCCTTCGTTACTCCTTCTGTGATTCCTATTTTATAAAAAAAAATCAATGCATAAAAAGCCACAAGAGTTGCATTAAAAAATTAGTTTTCAAGAGGGGAACAATTTCTCCTATCATTTACAAATTTAATTAACACTTTTTAAAAATAACATCTAGTAAGAACACCGAAAAGCCACTTAGCTGCGTATCTAGTGAAGTCTCAATAAGAGATCAGCCAGTGCTGAACCCATTCATCGGCAATTTTTAAACACTTAAACGAGTTCAGCAAAGTAAATTCGAGAAAACCGAATGAATAAGTATTATAGTTTTTAAACTCAAAATTCTTGAGACGAGTTCATTTAAGTAAATTCGAGAAAACCGAATAAATAAGTAATATAATTTGAATTCAGAAAAGTGATGTCGAGAGCTTGCGATTTGACCGTGTGAAAAAACTTTCTGCTTTTTAATAATAATTATGAAATTAGGGTTTTAACAAGTTTCGCTGTTTTAACACCTTCATTCGGTTTCATAAAAACGTTGGTATCACAATCAAATGCTTGCAGATGTTATCAACTATGATATGATTATTTCCAAGATTCTGAACCAAATTTCCGCCGATACATAATTAAAATGAACTAAATAGCATCTGCTAAAAACAGTAGCATAAATTTTGATTTTAATACCTATTTTGACACGAGGTTTTAATTTATTGTAGCCCTACCCTAGTTTCTTATTGATTAAGATAACAAGATCGTATACACTAGAGCCTTGATATCGGAATGAGGTCCCGCCAAATGATGATCTTGGATGACTGGAAGCATTCTTTTTAAGAACTTTTTGATGACTTGAGATTAAGTTAATTTCCTTGAACACCGATAATTTTTTTTTCTCAAAAAATCATCAAAACAATTTCTACTTTTCGAAAAAAATCACAAAATTATGATTTACTTTAACTTCACTCCTTCGCCAACTGCCGCAGGAAAATTGATAATCGACACCATATTTATGAATTAAATCAATTCCACAATCTTAACCGTTTAACTGGTACTGAAGAGATGTGGATATTCATTACTGAGTACCGTGTAGGGTGGAGCAAAGAGGGTGGATTGTGAAAAGATGCCTGTGATTTTTCGAACGCTTACTAACCTAGCTCAGTTTGTAGTGCTTGTCGCTGTTCGTGGGAGAGGGAGTCGAACTTTGTGTGGAGACACTTGAGCTTTCGATGTCTGTTCTTGTTATGCGTGCATAGAGGTACAGGACAACTGAAACATCATCATAGCCTTGTTTAACCTCCAACAATTCAATATAGAATCGAACCAAGTAGAAACAATTAGAATACTGACAAACAGTGCGCTAAAAGAAGTTCTTTTTCGCGCGTTAATTTTTTTTAGCCCACCGGCGACCTGAACCTTGAACTTTCAAGTTATAAATTAGTCTTTAAACCTCGAGAGTTGTCGCTTTCCTTAAATTTTGCGAGTCGTCTTTTGCTGTGTGTTGTTGTGATACACTTAAAGTCTCTGCCCGGGATGCGAAATCAAAAATGCTAAAAATGCATTTATATAGCAACCTTGATTGACTTTAAGTTGAAGCATCCAAAATTCATTGATTGAGACAATTAATGTTCAGTGCTTCTCTGGTTTTGGGGTAATGAAAAAAAATCAATTTCCATAAAGTACCTTGAAGTGAAGTTTATTTAATTTCGCGTGAGTAATATCAACGTACTGCAAGCTGTATGATTTAACTTTAATAAGATTAAGTTTCGATATACGAGGGTCAATTTTAGTCAAGAAAACATGTTCCAATTATGTCCACAAAAGGCCAAAGGCTTCTGTTTACTTTCCCAAAAAAGATTAACAATCATAGTTAATATTATCAAATTAATTACTCGGCCAAAAAATAAGGCCTGTCGGCTACGGGTAGCAATATTCAATCTCAATCAAGACTTTCAAGCTTCACTAAATCAGAGGGTTGATCGGTCTGGAATTTTATGGAGAAAAAGTAATAAAAACCAGTCTCGTATGAAAATAATAAAAAATAATAAGCAACTTACCAAAGTCAGACTTTTTTCCACTTCAGTGGGCAAATAACAATCATGAAAAACAACGGAACCAAAAAGCGATAAAATAATGAAAAAAAAATACTGCTGCAAATAATAACTTCGTCAGGCGAAAAGGCACAAGAACGTCGCTCAGTCATACTAATTATAACAAATAACAGCAAAAATTATCTGAAAGTAAACTTCTGACAATCTCGATAACACGCCGCGCGTTTATTGGTTTATTCAAGCCTCTTTGTTTTTCAGAGCTTAACACAATCTGTTTTTTTCTTCGGTCTCAGATGATGGTATTACGTATCAATTGTAGTCTGAAACAGATGACTGAACTAGTTCAAAGACTAACGTTCCTTACAGGAGCCGAGGCAAAAATGGGAAACAAGGAAGTTAAATGGTGCTCCGATGTAATTTTTCCGCACAGCTAATTAGAATAATGAAGTTTGAAAAATAGACTTCAAAGGTGAGCAACGTTTTTGATGTTCCTTCTAGTGGAACGCAGTCAATCAGTTGATTTAATGCAAAAATTAGGCAAAAAAACGATGAAAATTCGATTATGATGATGATGATGGATTTTTCAAACTTGATCGAAAAAAGTAAAGTGCTAAAAAACGTTTGTACAATTCAGTTCAGGGGAACAAATGGCAGGTATTAAGCTAAAAAGCAACATTCTAATCTTGCTTTTATGTCAGGTAATGTCGCGGCGGACGGGGAGCTTCCCTGTCTGATATAAATGACAGTGATGTATTATGCAAGAGGTAAAGGCAGCTCCTCCAATTGCAGTTTGAAATAACACACACACACACATGATAAGATTCAGCCCACGCGCTACGCTTCGTCGCTCTGTGGGCTGTAGAAAGGGACGGAAGACCGAAAATGACACTTGGTGGAAAGGGAGATTTGAACTTAAAAATTGATAGCCTCTTTTCCTCCTTCACCTGAAAATAATCTCCGCGCTCAACGTTCTTAAAATACGAAAGAAAAAATTCTACTCCAATTCCACGGGCTGTTGAATTTACCCGTCTGCAGTGTTTTTTTTATATACCTCCAGTTAGACCATCTTTTCCCTACTAACCCCGAAGTCGTTTGGCTTACCCGCTTGGCGCAACGGTGCTTACGCTCCAATGCAGACAAAAAGCACCAGTGGATGTCTCAAAAATAGAACAAAAGCAAATTTAAGCCAAAGAAAAGAAGAATTTAAAAGTTAATCAGTCGAAAAATACTATTCAATGCAAACAAAGCCAAGCTTCAGTGGTTATTCTTCCTCACCACAGCGGATCTTTCACTTCGCCTAAAATCTAATTTTCAAAATCTATTCGAGCTGCATATTTAAACAGGCCGGGCTAAATCGTCCGTGTTTACATATTTCATTTCCTCCGTTCACCATTTGAGACAAATTCAGCCCCTGGCAGTGAAAAGAGAGAAAACACTAGTCGAAAAGAAGAGAAAGGGTGATAAGCTTTCACAGATTTTACTTACAATTATTCACATCAGAGCGAGACAAGAAATGATTGAAGAATTTTCAATATAAGCGGAGGCTTCCGATTATTGTACAAATATAAAGAAGCAGACAAAAAAAATCGATTTGGAGACAGATTAGTTTTTGTTTCTTTTAAATCTGCAAACTAAGTGGCATCGAAATTGGTATTGGTATTTCACGCAATAATGCAGATTAAAAACTCTTTTAATGTCTACAAAGCCACCAAGCATCTGGGATAATGGCAGGAAGTTTAAAAATGAACTGAAAAAAGGGAAAATACTCCGCCATTCGCTAATGTGCACGTATTATCTTTCATTTATTCTCCTTTCATTTGTTCAACGCAAATGAAAAATTGTTAAAATAAATTTTAAAAGCGTGCACAGATTTTTAAGAAATTCAAAGCGCACCAATTCAAATGCACATTCCTTTGTTGAAGAGCCTTCAGCTATACAAGCAAAAACAATTCGGAACAAAAATATCAACAGCGAAAGAAAGTTCGCGCAAGATAAAAACGCATTCAACTGAATGTTAAAATTATGACCAAAACTTGTCCATTGATCTAGTGTCACGGATATCTAAGACCAACAGAAGAAAAAAATGCGGTAAAAACCTAGCCAGTAGTTGAAAACAATATACACAAGCAATATAGACAGAAAAAGGAACAAAAACAGTTCTTTTTAACTATTTCCTCCCCTTTTGCTAAGTGGGGGTGGGGGGGGGGGGGGGGGAGAGATTGGTTACTAGGTACAAAAATTACATATGTTTAACCAATGAATTATCTCTGTATAAGGGGTGGCATTTCCTCACTAAGTACCCTGGGGGAGAATAGTTGAAGAGATCCCAAAAAAAACCTATTTGAAATTAATAGTTGTTTTTATTCCGTTGAGAAAACAAAAATGTCATCTAAATTTTGAGCGTCATTTGCAGTGATAAAATTTTTTAAAACTCCAGAAAAATGCTCTGAGTCGAGAAAAAGCGTTGTAAAATTTAGGCTTTTCAGATTAATTTTAGAGCGAAGAGTCAGAGAGATGTTACTAATGCCTAAGGGCAGCTTAGTTTGGCAACGCACACCCTGCAACTTTCTTCAACTAAGAATGTTGGAACTAAAAATGCTGAAAAAACTGAGCGCACCGAGAGTAGCGATTGCAGTGCACGTAGCACAAAAATACCTATCACAGTAATGTGCAAAAAAACTTTGAAAAACTATTCATTATTTTTCGAACTAGAGTAGTTTTTCAAGTTGCATTCGAAAAATACCAAAACAAAAAAAGGAAAAAAAAATTAATATTTTTATTTGCACAGGAGAAGGCAAAGAAGCTGCGAAAACTAGCTCTCTTGGCGTAAACTAAGTTTTTCAAAGCTTAAAAAATTTACTATTATTTCAATAGCGACTAATCGCTCACTCGACTCACTCGTAATTAAACAAATCAAAACTTCAACCCGAATCTTACGACCCTTTTTTCCATTTTTTATGTCATTCGAATAAATAATTTTAAAAATTTCAATGCGCCAGTTTCCATATTTGCTTTTGAAAATTATACCTGAGCTCCCATTGAGAAATGAACTTGAATATAGCCAACAGAAAGTGGGAAAAGTGTCAATGAACGCAAGAAAAAACCTGACTTGTTTTTTGAAAATGTAGCCAACGGACAGTTGGAAAAGAGTCAATGAATACAAAGAAAGAGAAAACATAGCCAACTGACAGTTGGAAAAAGTAACGAACACAAAGAAACTGAAAAAAAAATACGTGTTTTTTTTTTCAAAAATCTTTAACTTTCGAAATTCGGAGAAAAACTTAGATGGCCTAAAAATTGCTTGTTAAAATTGACCCAAATTGAGAAAACTGGATCTACATGTATAGGTAAAACTTTTATTTCACTGGGAAATCTGATAATTAATTTTCATTTTCGAAATTAGAAGTCGATCACGTTTTTTCGTGATCTTTACAATTCTGCTGTGCGATAGTGGAGTTTGCCTTCCTTTTAACAATAGAAATGCACTGAATTTAAAAAGAACGAATGACAGGTCAAACCGCGAAAAATCAAAATTGAGCGTGAACAAATTTTAAGATTTTCCTCTGGGAAATCTGAAAACAAATTCCAATTTCAAAAATAGAAGTTGATCACGTTTTTTCGCACGACATTCACGTTCGTAGAAGAGCGCAATTAGTCTAACTTTCAGCAGATGAATTGAGCTCAAAATGTGCACATATACCTAAGTGCATTTGTATATGTATTAATATGTATGAAAGCACATCTATAGTTCTTAGAGCATTTCAAGACTTTTTCCTGAAAAAAAAATTACGTATATAAGAGTCTAAACTACATTCATCGACTCTTAATAAAACTGGCTCAATTTAAGAAAACTGGTTCAATGAAGAATTTTAATATTGCTTTAAGAAATCTAAAAATTTGAAAGCGATTTTGAAAGTATCAGTTTGAAAAATTAATTACGTTTTTTGAAAAACTAAAAAATAGTAACTTATTACACAATTTGTCTTCTTATTCGCAAAATGAAGTTGAAATTATTTTTAAAATAAATTTAAAAAACCGCTATTTTACAAATTTGAGCGTAACACAATAGATTAAAAACCACACGATCTAAATTAGGATCTTCACTTCATTCGTTGGCACTTAAACACTTTTCAACCTAATACAAACAGAAGCAAAAAATGAATACAAAGCAAAAAATGGATATTCCAACTGTCTTTAAGCGTGTCAAAAATCACTTGTTGAAAAAATTGAATAAAATTTTGCAAAAAAAAATGAAACTACTTATGAACTTACTTCTGGGTAAACCATTTCCGTAAATAATTTAAGCAAAAAACACTTGGCCAGAATTAAGTTGACAAGACGTATTAGTCACTTGGAATACACAGCACTATTGGAATAGAGCAGACGTATTAGTCTGTTGGGTAAATAAAAAACAATCATTTGCCTTCGCTTTAAGTGTTGGCCTGATGAAATTAAATTGGGCGAGATGATTTGGCGGTCACATATGATGTGTTTTGAACTTGATTTGGTAATTGAGGGAGACGGAACAGTCCTAACAAATGTCAGTTTGTATGGCAAGCAAACAGATAACTAGTTGGCAAGAAATAGTTGCAGTTGTCAGTGATAACAATTTTAGAGTCAATTCAGAAGAGACGGTAACTTTAAGGGTCAGTTCACTTCTGGTATTTCTGTTCGCCTGTTTTGTTTGTTCGGTGTCTTTGATCTCATTTCAATTATGTCGCATTCGGGTTAATACCGAGAAGGTAAATTGAGTGAACAAACAATGCCTCGCTTCTTGTACCATCTCCCCTGTTTCACTCACTGTGTAAACTGGGGCAGGGCGCATTTCAGTTCACGACACGCCCAGTTCACAAAGACGAAAGTAAACTTAGCAGATACGACAAAAAAACACTTTCACTTCGTTTCAATGATCTCTTTTGATTTATCCCATAATCAGCTTTATGAACACAACTAATCATTCTAAAACTAAGAAATTTGTTCAGTTTTTCCAAAAATTGAACAAAAAAATCCGTAGAAAAATTGAGCGGCTTATGAAGTGGATCAATTGCGCAGCATCAGAGAGCTTTATGCTTCGGCCGATTTAGTATCACGTTGACGAAAGTGGGATAATATTGGTAGACGAAAGATAAACGTTATATCACATTTCAGGGAGGAGTTTTAACAGTTTCGAGGTCTAAATACCATCATGCGTACTGAACTGATACTGATAATAAAATGTTCACTTTTCAAAACAAAGACTCGGTCAAAGCTAAACAGCGGTGCAAATAAATTTTGGCGGTCAAATAAACTTTCAAATAATAAAAATATAAAGGATACAGCAAAAAGCTAAAGGTCACAGTACAGAAACTTGAGAAATTGAAAGGGATTATGTGACGAAGCTCCTACATGCTCTGGTCCACAAAAGATCAGAGTGATTATATTGGTGATTTCGTCACAAAAAAAGAGGTAATATAAACCATCGATAACAAAAACCTTTTGTGGTTTGAATGAGCACACCAGACAATGCTGATATAACAATAAATTGCAGTTGCGTCACAAAAAAATTCGAGATGTTTTTACAGAACGAATAAAATTTAAATTAAAAAGAGAATGTTAGATATGCCCAATCATGTCATTTTTGAACTAAAAATTTTACAAAATCACAAAAAAAGTTTACCCTGATTAAAATTGGGAAGTACAGTTTTAGATAAATAAAATACAAATATTACTTAAGACAAACAAGAATAGCCAGTTTCCATGCAAGGAGCACAAAATGTTCCATCAACATCCACTTTTGCATCCAACAATGTTTCAGCAACAACGACAAATTATGTCATCTTAATATTCTATGCATTTCAATATTTTCGACGACTTTTTGACAAATCAAACCACAATTGAAAAACCAGGATTAACATGTATTTTTTTATTTCACTAAGAATTATAAACATAGCCAACAGAGAGTTGGAAAAAACGCAATGAACGAAAATAAACAGAAAAAACATACTGACTAGTTTTTTTTATTAAAAATCAACTCTCGAAATTAAAAAAAAAATAGATTATCTTAAAGCTCTCAGAATTTCTAGAACAATTTATGATTGGCATTTTTTGATAAAATTAACATAATTTGAGAAAATTCCACTTTCGGAACAAAAAGTCGATTACGTTTTTGTAAACATTACACTTTTGCTGTTCGATAGTAGAATTTGCCTTCGTTTTAACAAAGAAAATGAACTCAACTTAGAGAAATCAAGTAAATTTGAGCCTGAACAAATTTTAAGACTTTTCCTTAAAAAAATCATCGCGACCTATTTAAGAGTCCGTAACACGTTCATCAATTCTTAAAAAATCAATCGAATTTCGAAACTAATGAGTTTTTCTGCCATTTGCATTATTGTTATTGGAGAGTATAATTTACATTCCATTTAGCTACTCAAATTAAAAATGAAACTATCAACTGAAAATTTGAGCGTAGAACAATTTTAATCCTTTTCGAGAACAAAAAACTCAATTCATTCTCGAAAAAGTTCCTTTTCATCCACTCCAAAATCAATATTATTTGGCTCATTCTTGAATCTGATTGGCTGAATAAATCAATTATTTTTGAACCAAGCTTTTAGTGTTTATAAGTTATAAAACGAGATGTTAATTCGTCTCCAATAGTTTTTGACCTAAATTTTTGATAACTATTAGTTTTGGAATGTCGATATGCACTAGCTAAAATTAAAATTTGAATAGTAACCTTTTAAGCGCAACAGATAAATTTTTCAAAACGATAAACAAGCAGTCCATGTAGTCTCAAAACGCATTTAGGATGCGTTCGACATGACATAACGTTTGGGAACAAAAATATTTCAGGTTCAATCCCAACTCTACAATTGTCTTTCAGATATTGGTCTAAAAAAACTCCCCAAGCACATATATTCCACATTATTCGAAAGTCGGTAAAATAATATAAAGCAAGGTAACCGAAATTGAGATTTCAGGCAAACTTCACTTTTGTTGAATTTTTTCTCCTGGAGTCAGTCAGCAGAATTCTTCTATGCCTAACAAAGCCTAATCAGCAGTGTACGAACAGATGACAATTTTATAACAAGCAACAATTTGAGAAATGGCAATCAAAGGAAAAAACGCTTGCACCGTTGCACTTAAATTTGACACGAGCGGTATAATAAGCGTGAATCAGTTTTTGACGCTTAAGCTAATGTTACAAATTGTCGCTGGTTTTTCCGTAGATACAGGGAACGGAAAATTGAACTTCTTCGTAATGGATTGATAATGATTCCAAAAATTAATTCATCAGTTATAATACAGTGAAGTCAGTCTTACTACACAGCCACTTTCTTGGCTTTAAATTAAATTAAAACACAAAACATAGCAAACAGACAGTTGAAAAAGAGTCAATGATACAAAAAAAACAGAAAAAAATTACTTTAAATTTTGACTCTTTGAATTGTAATTGGAACTTTTTTGATAAAATCAGCCCAATTTGAGAAAACCGGTTACTAGGAAAATCTTTTATTCCAATGGGAGAAAGGTATAAAATTTAAATTCCGCATTCTAAACTAGAAATCGCTCACATTTTTGCACAATTTCACCATTCATAATTGGAGAGTGCAATTTGTCTACCATTAATAACTGAACTGGAATTCAATTTGATTTTTTCTAAGAAAATAAACTAAAAAAAACATAGCCAACTGACAATTAGAAAAGAGTAATGAACGCAAGGAAACTGAAAACAAGCGTTTAAGGTTTTTTCAAAAACCTTAAACTTTTGAATTTCGAATAAAAAATTAAATGGCCTTAAAACTCTTTGAATTTGGAGAACAATTTATGATGGACACTTTTTTGTTAAACATAAACCAATTTGAGAAAACTGGATCAAAAGGTAAAACTTTTATTTCGCTGGGAAATCTGATAATTGATTTCCATTTTCGAAATTAGAAGTCGATCACGTTTTTCGTGACCTTTTACATTTTTGCTATTCGATAGTGGAGTTTGCCTTCCTTTTAACAATGGAAATGCAGTGAACCTAAAAAGAAATCTCAAGTCAAACGGCAAAAAAATCAAAATTAGCGTGAACAAATTTTACGATTTTTTCCTGAAAAAAAAATCAGCAAGACCTATATAAGAGTACTCACTGTACTCACTACGTTCAGTACTCTTAAAAACCTAGATAACAACCTATATAAGCGTCTGAACTACGTACATCGACTCTTAACAAAATAATCGCTTTATCCTCATTGCAGCGCGAATCATTATTCGAATGGCTTCAATTAAATATACCCTATCTGACGGTTATTTATGCGTAATCTGAGGGTCAATAGAAACTCCCGGCCACAAAATTCTCTCACATATTTCCTGCTCACCACAACAATAAACATAGTCAACTGACAGTTGGAAGAGAGTAATGAACGTAACAAAAAATAGAAAAAAAAACGTCTTTTTCGAAAAAATCTCAGCCTTCGAATTTCGAAGAAAAAAATAGATGGCCTCAAACCTTTTGGAATTTCTCAAACAGATATTATTAGCAAAATTTATCATGAAATTAACACAATTTGAGAAAACTGGATCAGTACGAACTCACAAAGAAATCACAAGTGAAACCGCGAAAAAATCAAAATAAAGCGTGAACAAATTTTAAAACTTTTTAAAAAAAAAATCATCAAGACCTATATATGAGTCTTCACTACGTTCATTACTCTTAAAAGCGACAAGAGCAGAAGTACTGACCAGTTTTTGAGCGAAGTTCTTTCTCTATTCGGGGGTGAGTTCACTTCTGGCAACTGATAGTGAGTTCTGTTCTCTCCAAACAACTGCTGTTGTTGTTGTTGATTCTGCTGTTGTTGGTGAAGTTGCAAGATAGCCGAAGCACCTGGCGAAATGCTCTGAATAGAAGAGCGGTCAAATTCGGCTTTTATTCCCACCTGAAACAGCATCATTTAATCGGACAAAGATAATAGTTGCCAACAAAATTACAATAACTTATTTTGTTTTCACTCGTCGATACAAAATTATAATCTTAAAATAACACTAAACTACCTAAACATCAGATTGTTTTTTTTCCTGCCATTCAAAATCAAATACAATGCGAACCTGTTGAAGTCTGGGTGAGACTGAGTTCGAAGTCCTGCTCAGGACGTTTAGGTAATGTCCTCCGCTGGTTCCTGACGACGACTGCAAGTGCAACTGTTGATCTCTGTACGAATGGCCTACAGATCCTCCCGACAGGTGGGAGATTATCGGACTGGATGGGGCGCGATTCGGTAGAGCGCCGCCAGTTGTTGCGGTGCCACTGATGAGATTCGGGTAATTACTGATAGACCCTGTCGATACGTGCGAGATCTTGGAGTCTTCGTGAGCAGCCGCTAAAATTTCAAAAATGAGAAAAACGTTAGATGGAAAAGGAAACAGTCATCATAATTCGGTCATCTCAAGCTGAATTTAAGGAAGAACGCCGCTGAGCAAATGGGTGAAACAGTTTTAGCAGTTAAATGGAGTTTGCTTTCAGATGATAAAAGATGGCAAATCGATCTTACCAGTGGCAAGGCCTAATTCAATTCATCCCAATTCAGCTTTGAGGTCAGACAGCAGTTCTTTTTTGTCTGATCCAAAAATTGAAAAAGAACCGAAACTCTGTAGCCTCCCATTCAAAAGTAAGACGTTACGAATAAAGCAACATATTTAGACAGATGTTCGAAACTGAATTAAGACATGGATGACAAAACAGGAATTTAAATTAATGTCCGAAAAAATTGCTCTGAAACAAACCTGCCATTTGTACAGACATTTGTTAGAAAAACTGCAGCCTCCAATTTGATTTCCAATAAAATTCTGCGATACAGGATTCGAACTTGAATATCCAAATAATTTAAAACCTATTTGTGAAATGCTTCAAGAGTATTTTTCTGATGAAGATAACTGAAAACAGAAACTCGAAATTCATACCAAAAATTCATACCAAAAATGATCACAACTGGAATCAAAATTAGCAAATTATTTTGTCTCTTTTCTCCTGAAATCCAGCCCATTTTTGAACTAAATGTTAACCATGTAACCTCTATCTCTGATTATTATAGCGGGGTGAATTTAGCTCAAAATAAACTTCACATTGACTTAGATTTGAAAGAAAGAAATAGCAATTAACTGACAAATCTTACTTTGAAATTAATTGGCGACTCATTAGCCCAGTTTATGTTATGCAGATGACGAAGAACCCATAAGAACTAGATAAATCGAAATAAAATCAGATTCTAGATCAATCCAATTGTTATCATGTCTAGTCTGTTTTTTTTTCAATTACAGTAAAGTACTAAAATTCTTTATAGAACAAATTCAAAATGCGAACAAGCTTTGTTCGTTAACATCAATTGGTCGTCTTCGTTGCTTTAAATATATCTAGTGACATTTAAAACAATCAGCTTAAGCCGAGGTAACAACAAAAAAAATGATAAAAAAGGAAAGCGAAAAAGGGAGATTCGTAAAAAGGATAATTGAATAATAAAAGCGGCAGAAAATTGAAAAGAACTATTTTCCTAAATGAAAGGAACAAAATAGAGTAAAGGGACAGGTAACGAAGAGACTGGCACATGTCAAGGGCTGCAGAGTAAACAAATCAACAATTTAGCATTTAGAAGAAGCTTCCGAATTTGAACTACTGGGATTTCATTTTCAGAAAAATAGAAACAGCCAACAGACATTTGGAAAAGAGACATTGAACGCAAGTGAACAGAAAAAAAATAACGACTTGCTTTAAGAAAAAATCTCAATTTCCGAATTTCAAAGAAAAAAAGATGTCTTTAAAGCTCTCTGAAATACTAGACAAAATTTATGCTTGAAATTTATGCTCAAATCTGAAAATTGAACTCCACGTTCAAAACTAGAAGTCAATCACGATAGTGGAGCTTGCCTTCCTTTTAGTAACGGAAATGAATTGAGCCTAAAAAATCTAAAATCAAACAGCGAAAAAGTAAATTTGAGCCTGTACAATTTTCAATACTTTTTCTGCGAAAAAAACCATCGCGATCCTTATGAGTCTGAACTACGTTATTCGACTATTAAACATTAATACACGACTAAAAGAAAAAAGTAAAAAGGATCAAGACAAAAAATAACTTCATAAGTTTAAAAAAGTTGGTAGAAAAGCACAGGTAGCAAAAAGCCTAAAAAGTTTTTATTAATTTTCAATTTTTCAAAAAAAATTTCAAATACTTTTCGACTTTTTGGCAAAATATGGTAAAAACCATGCAACATCACCGTGAGGTGAATTCTGAGAGCAAGTAATTTTATGCATCTCCCGCTGAAAACCAACTTCATTCACGCCGTTTTTACTCAACAATAAAACAAATTATAATAATCATTTTGCAATCCAAACCACCACACACAAGTCTTTAAAATGACACCCTATATGAACTCTCATTGGCGTAGTCAAAACTGCGCAACAAACATCATATCACTCATTTTGTTATATATCTTTGGTCTGAATTGCAATTATCAAAGCTTTAAAAGGTTGAAAAACTGATAACTTTGTTTCAAATTTAATAAGAAAAAGAATTTGAACGAGTTGCATCACCGCTAACCTCAGTTTTTTTTAAAACTTAGTATCTTTTCAAATTCGTTGTTTTGAATACAGATAGCAGACAGCTGTCAATAGTTAAAGATATCGAGGAACACAGCGTATATTTCTTCAACTTTAACCATCGAGTCAAATTAAAACTTATCACTCCAGAGCTCCTCAAATTTCAAAAACATTTTTCATTATTCATTTAAAACAAGGCCTTTCGCGTTGTTTTGTGAGTTCTTTGCGTTTTCGTAATTCGAGCGGGTATATTTCTTTCCTTTTAGCAATTGAATTTAACAAGAAATCAAAGATCAAACAGCGTGATCAAATTGAATTTGAGAGTGATCAAATTTAAGAATTTCTCGTTAACAAAAGAGAAAAAATCAACACGAATTATAAAAGCAAGTCTTCACTGCGTTTTTTTGACATTTAAAAATTGAAATTCACTTTTGAAACTTAAATCCATTCGCTTTATGTAAGCTTCCGGTCTTGAAGAGCGTAGTTTTCCTTCCATTGAGTACATAAATTTGCAATGAACTTGAAAAGAAATCGGAATTCAAATCGTTAAAAAATCAAAGAGCCAGAACAACTTTTTAAAACTTTCCCGAAAAACACGACTTAATTAAAGTGTTCTACTTTGCTAAGATACACTCTAACATAGCCAACAGAAAGTTTAAAAAGAGTCAATGAACGCAAGTAAATACGTTGCGTAAGAGTCAAGTTACGCAAGTAAAAAAACACTGACTTGTTTTTTGAAATAATCTCAACTTTCAAATTTCAACAAAACAAAATAGATGGCCTTAAATTCTTTGTTGACAAGTTTTTTGATAAATTCAATCCAATTTGAGAAAACTGGATCAATAGGTAAATTTTTCATTCCGCAGGAAACTCGAAATTAAAATCCATTTTCGAAACTAAAAATCGAATCCGTTTTCATGACCTTTACACTTTTGTTGTTCGATAGTGGAGTTTGCCTTCCTTTCGAATCGAAAACCGCAATCAAACTCGACCTGAACAAATTTCAAGAATTATCCTGAAAAAATCATCATGATCTATATAAAATTTTTATCACGTTCATCGACTCTTAATAACTGGTAGAGAAAAAGCTATACATTTGAAATACTGGATGAGATGGGGCACGAGCTTGAACTAAATTGAACGAGATTGAACTAAATTGCAGCTGATTGAAAACTGAGTTGTGCCAAACAATATTTAAGCCTTTTTGCCGGCACCAAAACCCTTTTCGGAACTCCATTTTGGAGTTTGAGACAAGACTATTGCAGTTTCAATCTGACATATCAATGCATCGATGAGAGAATACAGTGCTGATTTAAATGATCCGCACAAAATGAACAAAACTTGACATTTTAAAATGGGTTTTTCTCAAATTGGGTTGACATTAGTAGGAAAAAATGTTGAGAACCAAAGTTGCTTCGAATTTCACCAGAATCATTATGGTGCAATTGTGTTCGCAAGATTCGGGGCCAAAATTTTGCCCCAAATATGGATCTTTTTGGCTTCTTTTAGTTCAATCAAAAATTAAGCTTAATCTAATGGGTCAATTGATGAGCATCGTTTAAAATTAAGCAACGTATTAAAAACGTTTAATTTTGTTTTCAAGCAAAGAATTGGAATTTTATGTAGTAAAAAGTGACACTTTTTGTTTATCAAACAAAAATGTATTCATTTATAAAGATTTTTGGATGTCATACTTTTCTAAAACTTTGTTGGGCTGTATAAGAAGCTCACTTTGATATAGCTTGATTATCAGTTGACTAATTAGATTTAGTGTAAATTTTGATTGATTAAAAAAAGCCAAAATGACCCCATTTTTGGGGGAAAATTTTAGCCCCGAATTTCGCAAAACAAATTGCATCATAATATTTCTGGTGAAATTCTAAGCAAATTTTGTTCTCTTCACTTTTTGTCTTAACTAACCCAATTTAAAATTTTCGAGCCTGGTTCATTCTGTCCTGGTAATTTAAATCCGTGCTGTAGTCTAAGATTTTAAACGTGTGGTATAACTTAGTATCATTGGACCAAAGATCTCACCTGCTCTTGAAAGTTGTTCAATTGGACCCGCCACACCTGTCGACATGTGCTGCGAGAAGAAACTACTCGAATTCGCTTCCTCTTGCTTTGCACTGGCCAATGAGTAACTATGGGTGCTCGTGCTGCTTTGATTACTCGTCCCCACAGATGTGAACCCGATCGAGTTCCGTGCCAGATCCATTTGTGCGTAATTCACGACTCGTGTGAAAACATCTTCACGCGAACCACCAATTCCACCCGAGGACCAAGTCATGTTTTGGAGCAGCGGATTAGATGCTGACATTTGTTGCTGATTTTCCTTATCATTTGCATGTACCTTGGGCTCCGATACTATATTCAATTGAGTAGAGGTCTTGCCGGATTCAACTGACGGCAAGGTTTTCGAATCAATTTCGCTCATGATTTGAGCTTTTGCAAGTGAGCTACTATAACTAGACGTGGCAGTGATTTCGACGTTGCTCGTTGAATCATTCGTAGCTAGTATCGCTGTTTTTGAAGTTGCGGCGGAACTATCAGTACTATAACAAGTAGTTGTGCCTTGTGTGCTGCTTTTGACATCGGCAGCAAACGTTGAGCTTGAGTCCTCTGAATTTGTCGAGGAGGACGCTTTACCCGGGAGGGTCTTGGAATCGTCAGCGGCGGCAACCGCGGCGACTGCGGGAGACGATGTAGTAGCAGTAGCACTGGTGGAAAGATCCGAAGTTGATGTTGTCGTTGAGGGTGGTGCAGTTGCGGAGGAGTGGGATGAGGCGGAGGCGAAAATGGGTGATATGGACCTCGCGGTCTCAGAGGATTGAGGTGCAAACTAAAAACATCTCAGATAAATATAGCCATCAGACATTGAAAAAATATCAATAAAAAAGGACACATAAGATTTAAATGATTTTGAAAAAATCGTGTCTCAAAATATAACATCTTGAAGCTCTTCGTTCATTGGCACTTAAAAGAGAATTAATTAATTGTCAATTCTACTGAAATAAAACAAAAATTCCTTTCCAACTAATTTCCAATTTTTAATTTCAGAACACAGGTTTCATATTTTTTGATAAGTTATGTTCAAAAATTCCGAAAACGTAAAGAAGAATCGGTTACGTAGTAGTATTAAGATAACAGCGTATTTATACTCGCCAGTAAGCAGAAAAATGCAATATTAACCAATCAGAATCGAGACAAAGAAAAATAAATGGATAATATTTTTTTTCGTAAAATTGCTTGCTCATCTCGATTCTGATAGGCTAAAATAGTATTTGTCTGCTTACTGACTAGTATGAATACGCAGTTGTCTAAATACATACCGCACTCCAGAACAATCATATCTAACAAACCTGAGAGCCTGTTTTGCTTTTAATTTTCGGATCTCGCTTTCTTTTGATGGAGTTGCTGCGAAGCTGTTTCTTGTAATTCTCGGTCGGTTTTTTCAGATAGTAGAACTTTACACATTCTTCGATGGGCTAAAAGGAAACCAATAATAAAAAAACGACTAGGTGAGTAATACAAAATTCTAAATCTAGGAAGAAATTAAATTTAAAAAAATATGAAATATCACACAAAAGATTGCATTTATGCCTGCATAAATACGTCACCTGTTTCCGAAATAAGATTATATCGTAGAAGCAAGAATAAAGAAAATTGATTTGATCAGTCTTACCTTTCCGACAGAATTGGAAATAGCCGCGAAGTTCTTTGGGTGGACGAGATACCTGAAATATACCAAACTGATGCAGATTGTATGTTTAACTATTCCATCGTTGCGATCATAAGCTTAAGTTACGTCAATAATCTAAAAGTTAAACCGCAAACAGGGCTTATTTGATGTTGGCCATCTCAAATGTCAAAACAGTATGTACAATTAAAAAGTTATTATTAACCATCATAATTAAATAAAAGTGATCTGCAAGTTGTAGAATTAAAGAAATATTAACTGAATGAAAACTGCCAATCAGAAGAAGGTCAACTTCATTAGACTTCCGACATGTGTTACACTTCGCTTTCGTTTGCGTGTTGATTAAGGCTACTTGAACTGAATCCAAACAAGTTTTTATGTGATTTGAATTAAATTGCAGGTGCGGGTGTGAAAGTCTATTTAATCCGCATGTCGTTTTCAAAATGTCAAAACATCAACCAAACTTGAACATAATTTTATTGTAACTGATATTTATCATAAAATTTCATTTCGTGCGAGGAACCCAACTACAATCAAAAATACAAATTTCAAAAAAAAATTGAAAAAAAAAGAATGAAGCTAGTTAGAAATTTTTTTTTACTTGTCTCTGAAAAGCTTTTGCTGCTGGGGACTCCAGGAAGATATGTTTTGGGTGTGTTTGTGCAACGACAAAGGGTCCTCCACGAAGCGGTTGCAATCCAAGTACTTGAACAGCAGCCGACTTCGATTGGTGCCTAATCTGTTCACACAGAGGGGAGGAACGACTGCGTTGCGGTGCATTTCGGATTCACTCAACTCCTGTTGGCGGAGACTGGAAGCTATTTCTTCTATCTCGAACTCGCTTTTTCCACTACCTCGAGTGCCCATCCTAAACACATCAAAGGTGAACAAGGAAAAACTAGAATGTAAACCACGCAAAATGAGTGTGAAAAAATCAGTCGAAGTATAAACCTACCGAAAATGCGCAGAGTATATAATCCAGCCGAAAAGTTACATCATATGAATGAAATTTGCATAACTTTCGTAACTGTTACATAATTGCTACACAACTACTATATAACACTTATGTATTTTCGGCTGGTTGATAATTCGGCTGGTTTATACTGGCTGGTTTATATACCACCGCGGAGTTTATAAACTAGCCCAACGTTACGTCATTTGAGTTGAAATTTGCTTTACTTTAGGTAATTTTTGCGCAAGTGTTACATAATTATTGCGTAACCAGCATTTTTTTCGGCTGGTTTTCATATATCATCAAGGGTAACAGAACAACAGGCAAGCTAACACAAGTTCGAGAATGCAAGCAGCCATTAAACTTAACAGCTGCAACTTGCAAAGAAAAAAACTACAAAAAAATAAAAATAAGTTTCCAAAAAATTCTTCAGTGTTTTATTTTTTTACTCCGCTAGCAATTCTCAAAACTCAAATCCCAGCACAATTTTAAGACTATTTGCACTTTCGTTTCGAGAGAGCATGAAATGCTTTCCGTCTTTTCAAAGAAAATGAAGTGAATTTGAAAAGGCCAAAACATGCGTTTGAGCTTGAACATTTTACAGACTTTTCTTGATTAAAGCAATCAAAAACCACACGAGCTAAATAAGTGAGAAGTCACTTCCATCAACACATAGCCAATAAACACAAAAAAATTGTCGATGAACTCAAGAAAAGTTAAAAAAAAAGGATGGATTTTTTTTATTTTTTAAAGAATATTCACAGAAAACCAGACTTCCATACCAGACTTATTTGGAATAGTTTTCGGAAAAATCCATTCAAAGAATTTAAAAACTGATGAAAGTTCAATGAAAAAAAAGTTGTTTTTTTTCAGATATTTTCTATCAAAAATTAGCCCCACAAAGTGATGCAAAAGCGTCCAGCCGCGTATTAAAAAAATCCACATAGCTCGCCTTCATTCAATATGGAACAACTTCTGCGCCGGTTTAAAGCGCTGCTTAGGCGTTCACAGTGCGATTTAAAATTCGCGTTCATTGTCTCGAGTCTACATCTGGCTAAAAATCTGATTTCCGGATGCCATTTATTTTCAGACGGTACAAAAAAACGTTCGACAAAACATAGCCAACATATAGTTGGAAAAGAGTAATTGAACGAAAGTAAACAGAAAACATTAATGTTTTTTTTAATAAACCTCAACTTCCGTCTTATATTTCAACTTAAACAAATCTCAATTGAATTTCTAGAATAACTTATGATTGAAAACTTTTGATAAAACTAAACCAGCTTGAGAAAACTGGATCAATAGGTAAAATTTTATTTCGCTGGAAAATCTGAAAGTTAAATTCAATTTTCAAAACTAAAACTCGTTCACGTTTTTGGTGGATTTTACACCTTCGCTGTTCGACGGTGGAGCTTGCCCTCCTTTTAACAAAATATATGAACTGAACTGAAATAGAAACTAAAAGTCAATCAGCGAAAAATCAAACTTGAGCGTGACAAATTTTAAGAAATTTTCCTGAAAAAAAATGCAGGAGTATTCAATACGTTCATGACTCTTAAAAAACTAACTCAATTTGAGAAAACTGGATCAATAGATTAAGTTCATATTGCGCTGAAAAATCTAAAAATTAAATTTCACTTTCGAAACAAGAGGTCGTTCACTTTTTTCGCGCCATTTCCCCGTTCGTATTTGGAGAGTGCAATTTATTTAACTTTCTCTAGACAAATTTAAACTAAACTCCAAAAGTGTCCATAATTACTTAAGTGCATTTGTGTATGCATTAATATGTATGAATGCACATCGGTAGGTATTAGAACATTTTAAAAAAATTTCTGAAAAAAAAAACAAAAAAATAACCAAGACCTATATAAAACTCTTCACTACATTCGTCGACGCTTAAAAAGCACATTGAACACAAATATCTATCCTTTCTTTAAAAGTCGGAAAAATATGGCTTTAAAGCTCGTTAAACTACAAGCAGTTTCTGATCACCTCGCAGAATTTGGGAAAAAAACTGTATCAATCGGTAAATTTTATATTTCATGAAAAGTGAAATCAATTTTTGAAACTAAAACTCATGCAGCGTTTTTAGCGTCATGCGCACTTTTTTATTTGAGGGCAAAGTTTACCTTTTTTAGCAAATAAATTTGAATTGAACTTTTAATAAAAAATCAAAAATCAAACTTCGAAAAAATACATTTGAGCGTAAGCACGTTTTAAACTTTTTTCCTGAAAAAAAAACGAGCAAACAATCAATCGGCCCGAACAAAGGTCTTCATTTTGTTCATTGACACTTGAAAACAAACTGAAGATTTCGGACGGCTAAATAGAAATTCTCGAAAGAAGAAATTACTAAGCAGCCAGCCAATTTTGTTTTTACAAGATTCCGAAATAGTCTGTTTTCCTGGTTCGTTCAAAATTCTTTAGTTGCTCGGCTTGTACAACTCATGGGATAAAATAGTAAAGCTTTTTTAGCTGAAAGTAGAGCAAACATATGATAAGTCTTTATGATAAAACTAACCGTGCAATTCGTTCGTCCTGTTCCCGTCGCTTTTTCAGGTCTGGAAAAATCTTCTCGAAGAATTCGCGGTTCTTAGCGTCCTTCGCTCTAAAACAAACAACAACAAAGCCGTCACAAACACTACCAAACAGTTATTGTACTTCGCATACAAAAACATCTATTTACCAACAAATATCAACACAAAGTTGCCAAATATAATTCAGCGATGTTTACCCAAATAGTATTAAAAATTATTAAACTAACAACTTTTGCAGCAAACAAACTATGGTAGCATTGAACCAAATATTCGACAAATTCAGCGGAACAAACATACTCTATCTACTTATTTGATATTTGGTCATTGCAATTTAATATTTGCAGTTGCATTGCGACCTAGCACGTGTCAAACATGTCAACTTGAAAATATACCCGAATCGATCTAATATTAGATTGCAAATGAATGACGGTAAATTTAGTTTAAGGAGGTGCTTGCGTTAAATTAGATTTTCTCAAAATCCCCTTTTGACAGTTCGATTAAATGGGAGGGGGGAAGGGATATTGAAACGCTGGGGAGTATTTAAAGGAAAATCACCTTCTCTTGGCGCTGTTTTTCTGAGATTGAACTTTGCTGCTCCATTGCGTGTAACTGCTGTCATATTGCTCAGCCCAGTTCTGATCCTAGACAAAACATCAACCTTATTTCAACCAACTATACCCAATTAAGGTCGAGCATGGTATTTGGTTTCGGCTCCTTTTCCTTTTCCTACACTAATAAGCATAATTTAGCACACGAGTGGATTTACAATGTTAGGTGTTTGTTATAGAGTGTGGCCACGGACAGTGTCAAAAATTGCTGGCACTGGCGACACTGAATTTCGCATGACCAAAATAAATTCAGGTACTGATAATTAAGAAAAAAAAACATTTTTTCCATGTGACATAACTAACAGCCCAATTCACACAGAGGCAAAGTTGCAACTTCGCAACACGAGCGAGAAAGCGGCAACGATTTAGGAGCTGTAAAATGCACAACAATTTAAACTTTGCATGAAACATATTGGAATTAGTAAATTAAGACCATTTATCCACGGGGGAAAGGACCAACACAAGAGCTGTACAGCTCATCACGGCGAACCGCTGTTGTGCCCCTGTTTAAGAACTATATGCAACTTTTTTTTTGGTTACAAACTAAAAGCTAAAGGCAGCAACACTAGCTTCGCTACGATCGTGCAAAAACAGGTAATATTTCGAAAATACATCATCTCATAACTTTGCAGCAAAACAACTGAAGCGTTCCCCGGATTTTTCTCAGAGCACATTTTATACTGAAAAAACATCACTGTGTAAACCTGCTTTAATTTTTGATGAACACAGCCAACAGACAGTTGGAAAAGAGTCAATGAACGCAAGTAAACAGAAAAAAATACTTAATACTGACTTGTTTTTTTGAATAAATCGCAACTTCCGAAGTTCCAAGAAATAAATAGATGGCCTATAAACTCTTTGAATTTCTAGAAGAAGTTATGATTGTAATTTTTGATAAAACTAAATCCTTTTGAGAAAACTGGATCAAAAGGTAAAATTTTTATTTCGCGGGAAAATTTGGAAATTAAATTCCATTTTTGAAACTATAAGTCGATGTCGTTTTCCGTAACATTTTAACTTTCGCTGATCGATAGTGGAGTTTGCCTTCCTTCTAAAAAAAAGAAAGAATGTGAACTGAATAAGAAATCATAAGTCAAACCGCGAAAAATCAAAATTGAGCGTGATCAAATTTTAAGACTTCCTGAAAAAAAATAATCACGACCTAAATAAGAGTCTGAACTACGTTCATCGACTCTTAAACAATGGGGTGGAAATTTTTTGGCGCTGATAGTGGTTGTTTGGCACTAAACGCACTGATACAATAGCCACCCTGTAATACTGCCATTTGACTTACCGCTTCGTGCAGTGTTTTCTTCTGCCGACTGATGCTCTCGACCAATTTGCTCTTGAATAGGTGAAATTTGTTCCTGTTTGCTTGATATGCAGGGGCTTCACAGGGCTGTGCGTACTTGGGAATCTCTGCCAGACAGGGACCACTGTCTCCCAACATCCGGTGCCAGAAATCTGCGTTCTTCTACAAAGTGTACAAAATTTTTAAAAAAAACATGTTCAACTATATTTCATTCTTCCTGAGTGGGGTTTTAATTTTTGGTTCTAGACTGAGGTTCTAAAATAGAAAAAAAAACAATTAGAAAAACGATAAGAAGGCCTGATGTAGGGATGCGAATTTTCTACATTTTATTTGTTCAATCGGGCTTTTTAAAAATATATACATAAAAAAAAACGAAATTTAATCATTCAATTTAGCCCCCCTAAACCCGCACTTGGTTTTTTCATAATACTTTTTTCATAAAATTGTAGCAAAACGGAATTAAGTTCGGGATTCCATTAAGCGCATTGAAAATTAAAACTGAATAATCGCGTATAAAATCATGTTTTCAAGGTGACTTCTCGAGATACATGTCATTTTTAATTTGTCGCATGAATTCTATGTAAAACTTTCGTAAATTATTTTAATCAATAAAGATAGAACCATACTGCTCAATAGTCATAATTAATTGTTTTCAAGGAGTACTGTAAATAAAATCAGCTTTTATCAAGCTCTGCGTTATAACTGAAAACGTTCACCAATAGAACAAATTTCGAAATCCATTAAAACATACGACTATTTTTCAAGCTAACAAGAAAGGTCGGTTGCTGAACAAGCACCACAGAAATTTTTGAACAGTGCTATTTGAACATTTTTGAACAGTGCATTTCAAACTAAGCATATATTTTGAATTAAGATTTTTTTAAATAGTTTTAACCAAATGCAACTTAAGATTCCTAATGTCCGGCACATTTGTCATAGTAATGACTTTTAGCTTGATTATTCAGTACTTTCAAAAACCTTTACTTGACTGTTAAATTCGAGAACTAGATGTGATAGAAGAAGTGATAGAAGAAGTGATAGAAGAGAACTAGATGTGATAGAGAGGGTAGAAGAAATAGAAATCGACGATGTTAAATTAAAAAACTAATGTAACTATGCAAATAGACAAAGGTGTTACAACATTGTTGATTATGAAAATAGATAGTTCTAATAAAGGTTTTCCAAACCCAAAAAAAACACGCTTTCTCAGAAAAACATAATATTAAATGAAAACTACAAAACTATATTATTAACAACAGTCAATAACAATTTCGAGAATCTTTTCCGGCCTACTCTTTTTTCATAAAACGAGCGCAATTAGAGAAAACTGTATCAGTATGTTAATTTTTTATTCCATAGGAAACTCTTATACAAAAATTCCACTTTCGAACCTTAAAAACATTCGCATTATAGTGCATTCTCCGCTTCCGTAATTGGCGAGCGTAATTTGCCTTCCTTTTTTTAGTAAATGAATTTGAATTGAACTTAATAAAAAATCGGAAGTCAAACTGCCAAAAGTCACAAAATTGAAAAGGACTCATTCCTGAAAATAATCAATAATTAGATAAGTGCCTTTAACTTACTACTTTCATTGACACCTAATAACAAAAAAAAATTTCAAAATTTTTCATTTTTTTCCGATTTAGTTTTTAACTTTTGAGCATTCGATAGCTGAAGCTTCTTCCAAAGCAAAAACAAGAGAGTTGAAAACACTTGAATAATTGAATTTTGTGCTTCTTCAAACAGCGAAAATTTGCCAGCGCCTTAAACTCTAATTAAACCCTACAAAAGACACGATATAAGGCGAATGAGACGATATGATAGTTTTAAAAAAAACCTATACGCCGAATTAACATTATAAACAATTTTGAAAAATTAAAGGAACAAACCAAAAAAAAACTTTGAACAATTAAAAAAAACTTGCTTAAATAAAAAACAAACTAACAATCAGTGGTAATCTAAGTTTTCAAGAAAAAATCAAAAACAGGTTCGAAAAAGCACTGCAATATCAAGACTATACTGTAATAGCAACCAGTAGTTTGCTGTTTCCAGAAATTGAGAGTCAGCAATTGTCAATTTACAGTACGCTTCTACTGCAAGCAACCATTCATTGATTCTGTTCGACAAATTTTTAGCGCAAAAATTCTAAGTTGCGCTTGATAACGCTTGCTAATCGCATGAATACTATTTTTATACATTAGGTCAAAAGAGGAAGTCAAAAAAATTATCATAAAATTATCAAAAGGAGTTCAGACTACTCAAAAAGCTGGTAAAAATTAGCTTCCTGAAATTAAATAACTGATTATACGTCATAGAGATTTCAGAGATATACCTGGGGCAGAATTTAAATTAAATTCTATTAAAAAAATTATTCGAGTGGAGCGACAAGCACACCTCTCACTTAGCACAGCAATTTTTTTCGAACTCTGTTCCGTAATATATTTTTAAGTGTGGCAAACTCAAAGTTTTTGAACACTTTTGCTCAGGACTGAGGGGTGGTGGTACAAGTTATATCACTTGCCATTTTTTATTAATCTAAACAAAATAACCCAGTGGAAAAATATGTCCCATTTTAAAACTTGATATCAAAAACAAACTATTTTGGAAATATTGAATCAATTCAAACACTCAACTTTTTTGTTACCAAATATAAACGCCCGTATAAGCATGCTAAGCATTTTTTTCTCTGAAATAGTATAGTTTGCTAAGCGACAGATAAGCTAAATGATATAAACTTGCCTATATAGCTAAATCTAGCCAATAATTTTTTCTCAAACTATCAATACAAATTTTCAGTTAAGTTGAAGAGACTATTTTTGTCAGTCATAATTTTAACGTCAAATAATAAATAATTTCTCATTTGATTTTCACCTTTATAGGCATAATTTTGTTGCATTTTTAATTCTTTGAATAAGCCGTTGCAAACTTAACTCAAATAACATAAAATCAATTTCGAAATCAAGAAGGCTGAGTTTTCGATACAATTTTGCTCAATTTAAACGAATTTGAGAAAACAGGAAAACGTAACAACTTTCTTTCCCAGAAATTTTTAATACAACCCTCTTTGATCTCAAGCTCAGCTACTGAAAAAAAATACGAACTATATAAGAAAACAGAGCCAACAGATGGTTGGAAAAACTTAAACGAACAAGGAAAAAAAACAAATTTGATTGAAAAATTCTTAGCCTTTTTCAACTTTCGAAAGCAAAAAAATCAAGTCAAATCAAGTTTTCAGAAGTGGTAATGGGTACTTTTCTTAAAGTTCTCCCATCTCGATAAAACTGGATCAATAAGTAATTTTCCTATTCCGATAACATTCATAAAAATAAAGCCCATTTTTTAAAAGTTTTTGTTGACTCGTATACTTTGGTCATCTTGAGGGTGATTTTGTTAAACATGCTTTTACTTGAAAAAGTCCTATATATTTAGTTTTTTGAAAAACTTCAAATTTCGAGTTTTAAAGAAAAAAGATAGATGGCCTTAAATCTCTTGGATTTTCTAGAACAATTTATGATTGGCACCTTATTGATAAAATTAACCCAATTAGAGAAAACAGGATCAATACGTAAAATTTATATTTCGCTGGGAAATCTGATAATTAAAATCCATTTTCGAAATAAGAAGTCAATCACGTTTTTGCGACCTTTACACCTGGGCTGTTCGATAGTTGAGTTTGCCTTTATTTAAACAGAGGAGACAAATTGAACTTAAGAAACATCAAAAATCCAAACGTGAAAAATCGAACTTGAGCGTGAACAAATTTAAAGAAATTTTTCGTAAATAAAAAATGGTCAAGATCGATATAAGTGACAACCAATTTGTTCTTTTGAACTTAATAATGCTGAAGCACTTTGCTTTGAGATGATAGTGTAATATGGATGGAATGAGAAAACAAAATTTTTGCAGTTTCACTGAAAGTAACAGCCTTCATAATTGTGTTATCTTCATTGAAACGCAATTCAGGGCTTGAAACGCATTCTATACTTGAAGCGATTCAATTTTAGGCGAGCATTTTGTCCAGTCGACTTCAACGTTAAAAAAAAAACATTTTGCGTTTAAAACATGCTGTTCTTTACTCATTGCTTGTCATTTTTTTGCCATTTTTCAAGATTTACTGCTAATGTGTTCATAAAATTGAGAAAAAATAGCATGAAAACTGAACAAACACAGATCAGTAGTCAGCAAAGTACCATTACAACTACAGAGCTTAATCAATCTGTTCATGACCTCGACTGCATTTGCTCATGTTTCAGGCTTCGTTTCGATTGTTGTTCAGGCACGTTTCTCAGTTGGCGATTCAGACCACTCAAATGCACTTAAGAACTCTCTGCTATTGTGTTCTAGCTCACCAAGCAAAATGTTCCACCAAATTGAATCTAGTAGCCTCAAACGTAGTCTTGGCGAGTCGAGATAAGACGTAATATTACTACAGCGACTTGTATATACCAAACTGTGTTCAAAATTCGTATCATATTTATCATATTTCGCGTCGTTTTAATTTAATCTTGCGTCGATTCATTTGCAAATATAAATCTTCGGCGTACCTCGTGGCGTGTTTTCTTTTCTGTCACCAAAGTTTAAAAGCACCTTATATAACTTTTGTAAACCGAGAAAAATTCAGTTCTAAATGACAAACGAACACATTAATGACACACGACAAGCCAACTATGGACAGAAATCAAAACATTCAAAATTTCACCTCATATGAACTGAATTGGTGAACCTTTCTCAAGTAGCGGGTAGAACCTTGGTGACTCGAAACGTCATTCAAAATCAATCATGAAACTTTCAACCCCGGTTTCAAGCTATAGTAGATATCAAGTTTACGACTACAGCATGAATTAAAAATAGCTGTGGCGGAGTTTATCATGGTGCTAATTTTAGATACATTTCATTATCGGTGTCCCGGTTAGACTTTGGGAAATCCGGTCGCCAATCTGTGTCTTATAACTCAATGGAATCTAACTGCGTTTGCGAGTGTGTGCAAAGAAAAAGGAAATTGAGACAATCGCCTTCAAAGAACATATGCTGCGACATGCATTCAATTATTCACATGTCCATGAAAAAAACTTCACAACCCAACGATTTTTAATAACTTTTTTGGTAACATTCCTTCAGGACTGCTTAAGTTGATCATGGTGATGATTTTGTTAACTGTTTAACTGTGACGGTCCAACCTTCGCGTTTTCAAGCCAATTTATGATTAAAGTGCTTTAATGATTCAAGTCATTTTATGATGCACAATTTTTTTTCATCATTTTTTCCAGTTTTTTTTTCATTTTCTAGTCACCATTTTGAATTTCAGAAAAAATTGGAATCCAAATAATGTTTAATAAAAATTCCAAAGCATGTGTAGCAAAAAAAAATGAAAATTGAAAAACAAAGAAAATCCAAGTATGTCGATAACTTTCCTATTAAGCCCGCCTGGCCGAGCTGAACACAAACGTGTGATAACGGAGACAATAATCGTAACACATCAAAGCTTCTTTATCTCTCAAAGGGCAGCCCATTAATTCTGAACGGCAGTCATAAAAAGAGGCTTATTTCCGCGGAGTTGGCACAAATCCCTGGGTGTTCTCAGCCCAAAGGAAAGTGCCATGTAATCCACAAAGCCCTGCCAAGCGCAAAAGATTTCCCAAAATATTTTTCAAAAAGCTGAAATATCCTGAGCAAACGTAAAGAGAGTGTATTTATTTTAAAAAACGTGTACCGAATTGACGAATATATATTACTTAAAGCTCTTTGAAATTTTTGTTTTTTATAATTTTTTTTATAAAATCATCCAAATTTGGGAAAACTGGATCATTTGATTTTGTTTATTCCGCTAGCAAACCTTAGAAACAAAATGACTCAGGTTTTTTGCACCATTTCTTTTATCGTTAGTTGAGAGCAAAATTTGTCTGTCTTTTCCAAAACGAATTTGAACTGAACGTGAGAACAATTCAAAAAACCAAATCGCGAAAAATCAAACTTCACTGTGATCAAAATTGGAAGCGGAAAAAAACGAAAGAGTTAAAAGGAAACAGCAAAAAAATTGATTTTTACGAATTTCAAAACTAAACCTCTTTCAAGCTCTTTGAATTTAACGTAAAATTTATGATTGATATAATTAACTTTTTTTACACTCAATTTGAAAAAACTTTATCAATATGTAGTTTTATATTCTGCGAAATGCTGGGAAACCTAAAAAGTAATATCTACTTTCGAAATTAGAATCAATCACGTTTTAATTACGCCATTTTAGCTATCTTAATTTATTTAACTTTTAGGAGATGAAAATGAATTGAACTCAAAAGCGCGTATATACCTAAGGTGCATTCATAAAATGTATTTTAGGTAAATAAATGCAATTCTGTAGTTATTAGAGCATTTGACGTTTTCCAGAAGAAAAAACAAAAGAATCGGAAAAAAACGATCAAGACATATATCAGTGAAAACCACTTCTGTCTTTTACGTTTATTAGTTAAACTCCGCATTTATGGGTAATTTTGCTTTGAAAAAAAATTACCTTGAGAATATGCACCTAATGATTGCTATCCGACAGAGCCTTTAGGATCACAAGAAATTTTTTTAAATGCTATCTGAGATGTTCTGGTAAATACGACGTGAACAGATAAAACCCCAGAAATGCCTTGACATGATAACGGTACTCGAATTAAAAATTATAAAAATAAAAAATTTTTGTTCTTATACGAAAATTTTTTAGCGACCGCTCAACTAGCACAAAACTCGCCTACCATAAAAATTTGAAACATCCAAATGCATCCAATAGCGTAACCTTGATGCTTCATGTCTCTGAATTACAAAAAATAGTATTATATATACTCCGATAAAAGTGAAGTTCGCATAGATTAAAAACTTCTGAGAATATACAAAAGTAAATTTTAACATCAAAAACAACATCGTATTTTTCATATATATGGAACAAAAACATGATTTCAGTGACGGACATAAAAATGATAGATTTTTTTATGATAGACTTTTTTTTGGATAAAATTAAGCATATTTTAAAACTCTGGTTCATTGAGTTTTTTCCAATGAGAAATGTAGAAATTAAATCTACTTTTGAAACTAAAATCAATCGCATTTTTCCCGCTATTTCCTGGAAAAAAGGAAAAATCAAAGTGTCTTCATTTCGTTCTTTGATACCTAAAAATTAGAATTCATTTTTAAACTGGAAAAAAAATCATGTTTTTGTGCCTTTTACCCTTTTGTTAATGGAAAACATGATTAATATTCCATTCCGCTAATTGTGAACTGCACAAATTGCACAAATTTCCCGACTTTTTTCCTCACAAAGAACAAACAAAAGATCCAAGCGGCCAAAATAGGTGGTGAAAATTCACTTCGTTCATCATTTTATGAAAAATAAACTAATGACAAGCGGACTGTACTGAATTTTTTGAAATATTCTTAAAAGTAAGGTATAACGCATGTATTTATGCAATTTATGCACGCATGTAAAAAAAAACTACCGGATAACATACTGGGTATACGACACTTAAATTTAGCCAGAGGAATGAAATGAAATGGTATACAAAAACATACCCGATTCTGACTGTAGATTTTGAATATGAAATCTTGCTCGGTTAATTTCTTGTTCGTCTCCGCCAGGTCTCGCACGTTTTCCGTGCGCGTGCAAGATGCTTTTCGGGGACAGCCTTCACCCTCTGCCGTGTGTGCGAAACAAGTGCACGATAATTGTACTGTGTCGTGTTCAACTGTAGGTAGTTGTAATAACCGCGATGATGCGTCCGTGATGGTAACTGATTCGTATTTATCTTGGCTCGAGGGTAAGCTTTGAGACAATTTGACCTCTGTTAAACTCTGGCTGTTTTCAGTTTTGACCTCATCTGAAGGTGAGGATTTGATCGAATTCAGATGATTCGGAGGAAGAACTCCTGCTCCCATTTGGATCAAGGTTGCTTTGTTTATGTTGTTATTATGGTTGATGAACTGCTGCTGCTGTGAACTATTAGCAGAAGCGTGACGTGTACGTTCCTCTCGCTGAAATGAAAATATAACATTTTTGGATGGATATAAGCAATAAATCAACTATATTTGATCTGCTTCAAACTGCCATTGCACTGTCAGGTCAAAGAGATTTGCACATAGTAAATTTATATTTCAGAGTTATATGACCTTGACACTGTTTTAATCTTACAATATAACTACAGTACAAATCAAACACCACTTAATAAAAACTCATTAAAATGACTCTGTATTCATTTTATTACAGTTCGGCATGGAGCATAAATGGAAAAGAAGAGTGTCCGACTGCTAATAAAAATGACTAGATTTCAGATACCCTAAGATTTTTTGATACCCTAGATTTCTGATACCCTGAAATTTTTCTGCACTTTTGAGCTGAAAAAATTTAACATTTCACCGACATTGTTCATTTTAATTTCTGTAGCTTGAAAATCCTCACGACAATCACTTAATTTTTTTACTATGCGTTCAATTGAAAAATGAGGACGCATCTCCAATTTAATTTTTTGAACAGTGTCATGCAGACTGAAAAATAAGCAGTGATTTCCATGAAGTTTCAATCACAATTAAAATAACTTCAAACTCAAAACTCTTCATTCAATCGATGTTTTATTTTGGATGGTTTAAACCCACCAATTAACCTCTAGGAATCAACTTCTGCAAAAAAAAATCAAATTTGAGCGTGAACAAATTTGAATGTTTTTTACCTGAAAAAAAAACTATCAAAAAATCACCAAGACCTATATAAAAGTATTCACTACGTTCATAACTTTTAACAAGACAATTTACAGAACTATGCCCTGTTCACTGTGCCCTGAACTATGCAGATCCCATTTGGCATTTAGACTATTTTACTCCGTGACACTAACTGGCAAAAACTGGCACTGCGATCAACTACGGGATGCTCCTGAATGAGCGACATCAGACAATAATGACGCATCAAACAAAAATGCTTCCGGCCAAAATACATGTTGAAATACTCTCCAGACAGTTTTTTTTTAAGTTGCTACCAAGAACACAGAGCCGACTACCACAATTTCAACTATACAGGTGGTGACAGTGTGACAAAAGGTTCCCGTTATACGTCATTTTGCCCCTAGCGACCCCGGTAAAACAACGGCGACAGACTTGACGAGACGACATCACCCTGGCCAGATATTAACGAAAATTTCCTGAATCTCTTTTTATCTCTATCTCTCATACATATATGCCTCTGCATTCTCTTGAAACTTGGTGTAGCTATAACAACAACATCATTCGAATTGTCTATACAACTTCGAAACACAAAAATTACATTCCTCTATTTTAGAGAAGACACTGAATTCCTCTTTCGAGTCAAACATAACATAAGCACAACGTTTTGTTTTAATATTTTATTGTGAAATCAACCATAAAACTGAAAAACTGGAGCAATAAATCTTTTTTATTTCGATGAGGATTCCAAAAAAAATAAATCAACAAATATGAATCAACAAACTTTAAATAAACGCCAATCAAATTTCATACCCTTTTCACTTTTGTCATTGGATAACGTCATCATTTTTATTTTCCGCAAATTAATTTTAAGGTAAATTTGAAAACATAGCTGCAGGAAACAGTTGGAAAAAGTAAAAAAAAATGGAGCTAAACAAAAAAACTGAATTCCGAAGTTCAAAAAATATATAGATGGCCTTAGAGCTCTTTGAATTTCAAGATAGTTTTTGCTAGACACTTTTTTTGAGTAAATCAACTCAATTTGAGAAAACTGGATCAAATGTTTTTATTTCGCTGGGAATTCTGAAAATTGAAATCCACTTTCGAAGTCAAAAGACGCTCACATTTATTGTGACATTTACATTTTTGCTGTTTTTGTGACATTTACAAAGGAAATGAACTAAAATTGAAAAAAAAATCAAAATTAAACCGCAAAAAAATTGAAATGCTAGCGTGATCAACTTTTAAGAATTTTTCCTAAAAAAACAACCAGAAAAATCACCAAGACCTATGTAAGAGTCTTCACTACGTTCATCGACTCTTAAAAAAGTACAAACACAAATATGTAAATTTAAGCGTGAAAAACCAGCCCTTGGTAAAAAAAAAGACCAAAAAAAAGAAAAATCATTATGTTCAAAAAGAGGTGAGCAAGGAAACAGAGGAAGAAAAAACAATCAAAAGTGTTTTTTAAACTAATTTAAGGACTCGCTGAACAAAATCATGACCAATTTAATCATTTTGAAAACCTGTTTTGAAAATTTGAGGACACCATTTTTCCTTTCCCTCCCACCTTTTCCTTCTCCTTTCGCAGTAGCACCATTATTGGGTAACAAGGGGTTTTGCAAGGTTAAATATGAGGATCAAATAGTCCGCTTGCCAATTCTTATAAAAAACGTGAAAAAAAAATTTTACTTAAAATTTTGCATGTAGGGAAAGGAAATAGAGCCAAATCCGCGCTTCGCATTTGGGAGTAATTTAAGAAAATTTCCACATTTTCGGGTTAATAAAAGACGTTTCCGCATTTATGGGTGATTTAGCGCTGAAGAAAATACATTGAGAATTCGCACAAAAATGAAAAAGGACAGTTATACATTGTAATTATCACATTGTAACATCGGGTAAAATAACTCGATACATCTTTTTAACTGCAAAAATGCTCCCACTACACTTAAGTACAAGAACTATGAACTGAACCCGTTAAAGTAGCTAAATTTCTTAGCCTCGAAAAAAAACTTGTCTTGTTTCTCGGGAAACGAGAACCGAAACAAGAAACCTTTGCTCTTTTCCTTTCCCCCACCTCACATATGCATCAATTTTATGTTGTAACGAGGGCTTTTACAAGGTTAAGTATGAAGACCAAATATGTTTGTCATAGCCTAATTAGTCCGCATACCAATTTTGTAACAATCCGATAATGTGAACAAAATTTTACTTGTAGAACAAGTTTGGGGGAAAAGAACAAGATCCGAAAACCCCAAACGAGTCCCAGGGCCGGGAACGGGGTCCCCCTTCTGTCCAAAAACACGTAAAACAACTATGAAAAGAAAAAAAATTGAAAATAGGGGAGCGGAGCTGAAAAGAGCCAAAAATCAGCTGAAAAATCTTAATCTTGCAAAATCACAATCTTGCAAAAATCACTGATAAAAGTCCAAAAATCTGAACGGGACTTAAAATGAAACGCATGATTATGAAATTCAGCTTGTAATTCAACAAAATTGCATTTACTATTTCCATTCAACATGACGTTTTGCAAACAGAAAAGCAAAAGCAAACAGCGAATCGCACATTTGACATTCTTCATATTGAACTTTAATAACATATTTAATGGTTCAATTTTATGCAATTTATTTTTATCACGTGCTTCAAACTCGCTTTGTTCACAGTTGGAACGCGAGAGCATATATAGAATAGAATATTAATGCAATGCTACTTTAATAATACTGGTGCCAATGCTGAACCAACAAGACTAGCACGAGGCACCAGTTGTTACCATTGGCCATGAAGCGCCTCGATGATGCAAACGGAAAGAGAATTTTAAAAATTTGGAATCAGACCTGAGAGTTCCAATCGAGATGCAAAATGTTACCACTAGGAATTGAATAGCAATAAAGCAATGCAAATGCAACCGCGGTTGCATGGAACTGGAAAGCAAACAATACCTTGTACCACGGATTGGATCAACACACAAGCAAGGCCCAACAGATCAAAAGCCGCAGAATCAATTTCTAAATTATAGTTTCCTTAAAAACCAGGTCAAGTATAAAAAGTCAAAAAAAGCGACGCGCGCTTTTAAAAAAATTAATGTTTTTGAAAAGCTCAGCCTTCAAATGCGATAGTTGATTTAAAGAAGTTGAACTTTTGACCGCGCTGTATACGTGCTACTTAATAATCCGACTTGAGAATTGCCGTAAGAACAAATTTGGTTTTTGTGAGCTACTTTTAGTGATTGAACTTTTTCGAGGCAGCAACAGAAGATTGCAAAAAAGACAAAAGAACAAAGAAAACCGAAAAGTTGACTGAAAACTTATAAACATTTTCAACTTTCGAAGAAAAAATGTATCAGGTTAAAGCTCTTTGAATTTCAAAAACTGTTCATGATTAAAACTTTTTTCTCAAAATTAATCCAGACAGCAATGAGAAATTGCTGTCAAGTTGGGAAATCCACTGTCAAAACTTGAAATCGATCACGTTTTTTCGCGCCATCTCTGCATTCGTACCTGAACAGCGCCTACTTTGTCGACTTTTACCAAATGAAATTGAATTGAATTCACCTATTTAAGTCAAAATTACTTCTTTTACACTTTATATTCACACAACACCTATAAGTCAAAATGACTTTATTCTTTTACACTTAAGATAAATTTTACGACAAATTTCATGTTAAAAAAAAACAATGCCAAAAACAGCTAGAAAAATGTAAATAGACTCAAGAAAACAAAATATGATAAAATTTTTCAAAATTTGACAAATATATTACATTCAGGCATTTCCACAAACTTCAACAATTGACAAATTACTGACACAATTAACACAATCTGAAGAAACGTTCTCTATACAATTGTTTATTATTGCGCTCGAAATTAGAAAGAAAAACAAATCCATTTTGTTTTAAAGAAAAAAACTGTTTATGCAACAGTGCTAACATAATATGGAATTATGTTACAGGATCAACTCAGAATATAAATTTCTGCAAAAAGTGAAAAGTCCCGAGGGAAAAGACAGACAAAGGAACAATGTACTGACCAGGCCTCTACCCTGCATCTAATATTACCAAAAGCATACTTCATAAACAATAAATAAACTGAACTCCATCCAAATCACATGTCTCAAAACACATACCTCAGACTTTTTACATGAAAATGCCTTCTTCAGGCAATGATCCCAAAAAACAGTCCCTGATGACCTCTTGTAGCAGGGGGTGTGCTTTGAAGACATTGCTATTGGCATAAATTCCATAACGTAGCGTATACGGTAAAATTTTTATACTACAAATGCATAATTGCAACTCAATCGGGCCATGAAACTCGCCAGTCGTAGGCTTGTATATCAGGTATATTTAATTTTCTTGGAAGTGAGTTTTTAACGGTTGCTGCCTCTTTTAATTGTGTCGAGTGTCTAGAGTCGCCGTAACATCTTTAGGACATGATGGAGGCTTTTCGGGCAGAGAACACCTAACGAAGAATGAGAAACAATTTCTGTCTCAGTGTTGACAAAAATGGATCAAAACAGATACAATTTGAATTCTGCAAAAAAAAAAATTCAAATCAAAATTCATTTTGAAACTGAAGTTGAGCGCAACTTTTGGCCTCCAATTTGTTATGGGAGATCATTTCGAGTGTAAAACAAAACTTGAGAAGCGTGGTTCACAAGCAACTCAAAGCTAAATGGTCAAAAAATGATTTGGAGCTTGATTTTTTTCAAAATCACAAAATTCAACATTCACTACCTCAAAAGAAATTATGATACACAAAACCAACAGCTATCAAGAAAACCCATTTTTATAGAATACTGCATCAAATTAAATCATGATGCAGCTCTTTCAAACTGAAAATCATAGCAGACAAACCATCTGAAAAAGTGTTAATGAAATTACATAAAACCGAAAAAAAATAATTAACTATTTTTGAAAAATCTGAACTTCGGAAAAAATATCACGTTAAAGCTCTGTTAATTTCAAGAGGTAATAAAACTAAAATCCATTTTGAAATTGGAAGTCAATCACGTTTGTATTAACTGAATAAGAATTTAACTTCAAAGAAATGTAAAGTCAAATTTGAGCGTGATCAAAAAATTAAGATAGTTGAAAAAGTGACAGAAAACAAAAAGCCCAAAAATTATCTTAAGCTCTGTTAAACTTCAGAAACGCTCAAGATCCAAATAAAGAACACGAAATCAACAAATATTTTTTTTTTCAGCTGAGATTTCTGAAAAATTAAGATTCATTTTTATACCTTAAATTAACCCTGGGTTTTTGCGCCATTTGCATATTTCTTTTTGCACAGCGTATTTCACCTCCTTTGGGCAAATTATTTAAAAAGAACTTAACAAGAAATCAAAGAAAAGTCAAACCGCGTCAAAATGAAATTTAACGTGGACAACTTTTATGATTATTCCTGAAAAAAAAGCAGACTGCCTAAATACATATCTAAATAGTTTATCTACACTAACACCTAGCCAACGGACAGTTGTAAACATGTCATAGACCTGAGAAAAACCAAAAAAGAAAGATTGTTCCATTTTTGAAGTTGAGTTTCAAGAAAAAATATATCATCTTATAACTCTTTGTTTTTCAAAGCACCTTTATATTAGACAGTTTCGTTGATAAATACAAGCCTAATTTGAGATAAATACCTTGGGCTCTCAAGTTAAAAAACAGATCGATAGGCAATTCTTTTATTATATACACTTTTGAAAATGAAAGTCAATTATGTTTTTTCGCGCTGTTTGCTTTTTTGGTATTCGGGAGCTGTGTTTGTCTTTGTTATTTGAAAGATTAAAATTAACTGCCGATAAAATCACTCAAAAGCACACTGAAAAAATTACATTCAAAACATTCAGATGCCATTTATCTAATTTACCGTGATTTGTTGTGAATAAATAACCGTGGTTGAATGTGAATAAAAAATAACTAAATTTCCTTTTTGATTGCATTAACATTAAATTTCCTTTCTAACCAACGTAAAAAAATTAAGCAAAATTTTATGTGGCATGTCTATTAACTAAAAAAAACCACGCCTGTATTCAAAATGTCAAAAATCCAACCAACATGCTTCGTTTTTTTTAAACATCCAATTGTTGAAATGAAATAGCAAAACAATCTGAAAAAGGCCATGCAGAGCTGGATTTGATTAATTTTGATCCTACGCAAACTGCCTTTTTAATCAATTATTTAACCTCTAATACAATAGAAATTCCGGTAACTTCCCAAACGGCATAATTCCCGAATGGCACAAAAAAGAAACATTTCTCAAATGGCAAATTGTAAGTTTTCATTGTAAGTCAAACGTTTTTGATCAGTTCCTGGCAAGATTCGTTATTTTGCCCAGGAACCAAAACATGTGAAGAACATGGAATTAATTGCTTCCAAACAGATGTTAAGCGGAAAAGGTTACCAAAAGAAGCTGATCAACAACCGAAAGCTTATGCTTTTCGCTTTTGATAAAAAAAATTCTGCAATTTTTTCAAGATAAAAAGTCAATCGACATTTTAATTGACAACTTGACCAATTTTCTCATTTTGTTCATCAAAAATTTGTTCTCGACTTTTTTTAATGCAACTGTTGTATGAAGTTTATGTCATTTGGGAATTTTTTCATTTTTATGCCATTCGGGAATTATGCCATTTGAGACGTAATCGAAATTCCTTTCCCATGCGAAGGCAAAACACGTGAAAGCAAGCAAATATGTATTAAAGAATATATTTGAATGTTTTCAGCAAAAATTTGCTGTTGTGGTCAGGGTTGTGAAAAAAAAAGAATTTTTTTTTTCACAATTTGTTCAGTTCGCGGTAAAGAAATGCTAGTTTTCCGCATTTTTCAGCCAAATTTTCCAAAAGTCATTCCTGTCGTTAAGAACCACTTTTCTAGCTGAGTTGGGAACACTGAAACGAGAGCTATAGCAATATCAACCAACGCTATTTCGAATTCCACCCCATAGAGATCGAGCGGTACAATAAGTTTAAAAGCTGTAACAATTTTGAAAAAGAAAACAGCTTTATGATTTCTGTTTTAAAACATTTTTTTTGCCTTGTTTGAATATATGATATATGTTTTAAAAGACTTCCAACCTTGGTTGTGTTATCTTTTCAATTGAGTAATACATCTATAACTCTACTGTAATTACCATTCAACGTGGTTGCACAAAACAAATCAACCGCAAAAAGGCGTTAGTTAAAAGTGAAACCAATTTTGAGATTAAATTGAGCAAATCTTTTCATTGATTAAATCACATGTATTGATTTATTCAAAAAAGTTGAATTGATGTGTGAATGAATAACCATGTCTTCAAAAACTGATGGAAATAAATAAACAATTGAATTTTTCAATTTTTGTTTCATTTTTATAGAAAAAATTACGTCTTAAATTTAAAACTCAGAAAAAATGGATGAAAGGTTGTTTTTTTTGTATGCTGCCCATTATACTGCCCCCCCCCCCGCATCTTAAATTTACAAAAAATGTATGAAAAGAAGAATTTTATTTGACCCTTCTTTAACTGACTGCCAAAGATTATTTAATGCGAAGCAGATATCCTCAGCATTTTTTTCTGCCGCTAAAATAAGCATAGGCAAACTCTGTCGAACCTCTTTTGAAAATTTAGTCACATCTTGCCTAAACGTTCTTTTCCTAATAGGTCAAAAAAACAGGAATGAGATGTCACAAAAATCTGCTTGCATGGATGCTTTAGAAATGCAACCAAGGGATGGCTTCTTGGTGGAGGGAGAGGGAATGGGGGAGGGCAGCGAGCAGAACAAAGGATGGAGCAGTCAATTTTCCATCCATCTTCGGTTCAATTCTAATCTGAGCTTGACAAGTCCCCTAGAGGCACATAAAAACGTCTAACGACTTTATAAATTAGTCACGCAGCAGCGCTTTGAACGATAAAAAACAAGTCTGAACAAAAATAGAAGAGTTGTTCAAAAATGAATGAATGAAGAGTGACTGGTGGTTAAAGGTCATTCGTTGCGTCACAAATCAATGTCCGATATGCCCATCACAAAACGATCTTATCGCACGCACCATCAAAGCCATGCCAACAAATTTGTTTTAGGTCTCAAACTTGAAATGATGGGTTCAAAAAGTAAAGATTCAATTTGAGGCAATTGAGCTGAAACGGAGAAGCGATTGTTTCAGACTGAATGTTTTTTTTTTCGTTTTTTCGAACAACACGGTTACTTCATTCTTAAAGCTAGCAGTCTGGAAATCCATTTTTTAAATTGGATTTTTGATTTACATCACATATGATGGTAACCACATCTTGTTTTAATGGGAAATGCAAATTCATTTTTTGAAAATGTGTTTTTTATCGACTGCTTCGAAATTCAATTTTTAATCGAAACTCAATTTTTATCTAACCTTTTTCATGAGTCTTGCGATCTTGCTCTCGTACTGGTTAATATCAGTTTCTAAACTAGCCAGCTTGTTGGAAATCACTTTGCTTTTCGTCTCATGACTACTGCTCGACGATGAAGAAAGAGAGGACATGGATGCACTATGGGTTTGTGAATGGCCCCCTGTCGCTATGGGCGAGGGAAGCGAGGAGGACATCCCTACCGAGTGATTAGTCATGGCGCTGGAGGGTCCATTCTCCTGAAAAAAAAACAGCACAGTTCATGATCCAATTTTTTTTCAACGGAAGTTCACGCTCTTGAGAAGCGACCAAATTTAGCAGCGATAATTCAAAAAATTGATAATTGATTCAATGAGAGCTGTGATTATACAAGTTTAGACAAGATTTGACAAAAAATTTCCAACTTTACAAAAATCCAAGTCATAAAATTTAAATTTCGGTATTTCGAACAAAATTATGGATCAACAATAAGAGTCGCCACTTGCTGTTGCCAAAATTATTATTTTTAGAATCTTTAAAAAATCTATATTCATTTTGAAAAAAAAAACGGAAAAATTCAGCCTAGTTTTTTTGACATTGAGTTTTTTGGCATATCTATTTGAAAATAACGAGTGGTAGAAAAATAAAATATTTATCTAAATTAAAATTGTTTCTTTCATTTTTTTGTTGCGCAGCATGTTTTTTAGTACCGCAAAAAAAATGAGGAAAATATGCAACATTTGTTTGCGCAGTGTAGCAATCTGGCGCGTTTCCTGCCGCAGGAAAAACATTGGCGCCCACATTGCCTTTGAAGCCTCGCGCTGATGTCATATTTGGATTGGCAATGCAAAAAATATGGCAATACAAAAAAAATTATGACACTAACTGCGGTTATTTTCTATTTCACATGCATTTGATCCAAAAATTAGCAAAACACTGGTTCGATTTTAAGCTAATTGTTTTTTTTTCACATTTGTTATACCAATTGAACTGAGACAAAAATGACGAAATTGATTCGTTTTTGACACAGAAAAAAAACGGAATGACGTGGAACTAAATTACTAAGGGAATAGTCACAAACAAAAGGCACCGCATGCTTTTTCAATTCTTTTTTCAGTTTAAACGTAATATAAGAATAGAATTGTAATTTAACAAAAAGGCGAAAACGGATTTGAGGAGGAAGGTACGGAGAAATTGGAAACTGAATGAGAAATGAGACCTTTAAATGGGGACAGATTGGACTTAAAGAACAGCAAAGACGAGATTAAATTTAGATTGCATTCAGCCCTCATGCTGGAGAAAGCAAGACTTAATCAGAAATGCCCCTTTACACAAACGCGCATACAAATACCTTTAAAAACACAATGGCTACCAATGCTACCTTTTCATGAAAACGAAATGAAAGTTTTTCTTTTGCAACAAAAGCCAAAAGACAAAAATACATTACCCGCAAGCACAAATACGGTAAAAACATAATAATATTCACAAGGCGATCACCATACCAAAAATATTCTGACTAGCTAGGTCATCTGAATTTCAAAAATGTAAGAAGGTTTCAAAGGGTACGATGCTACAAAAATGTAAGAAGGCCATCAGAAAGGACAGTTTTCGAATCCGTAGAGATTCGCTGCAAGGGCTGGTTTAGAGGGACGCATCCTTCACTCAGACATTCGACACCCGTGCCACCCAAAGGAACCCTCTTTGATACTATTTTAAGACACCAATTTTGGCTAACCAACCCAAATAATGATCTCAAGGCTCTTTCGGTGCCTAATTAAACTAATACTCATACAAATTATAGGCCCGCAAAAAAAATAACCAATTTTGTAGTTAACAGCACCCAAAAAAGCAAGAAAAGCAATTTAGCATTTGCCAGCAGTCCGGTAAACTGCAATCCGACCCCATAAATTTTTTCGTAAAAGTGTCGGTGTCGTCTGAGAGCTCGGAAGATCAATTTCGTCCAGAACAAGGTCGACCAGCCCCTGATCACAACCTTTAATTCAAAATTCAGAACTTAGCCAAACGTGCATAAAGCAATCAAAAATATTTTAGCAGGGGATAAACTTTTTCAAACTTTTGTTCCGACTACTGAAAATGGGGAGGAACTTTGTATTCGGGTGTTTCTTTTTTTTCTTTTTTTTTCCACGCAAAACTAGGTACCATAAATAATCATCGGACTGGGTTGAGTGATGTATCAGATTCAAGCCCTTACCTTAATGATTCGAACCACCTTAAAAAATTCCCCAGTGTCGAGAAAAATCGGTTTGAATTTTTTGATTTTTCGTCTTACTTCGAGCGAATAAAGCCAGAGCGAGCAGGCTTACAACAGCTTAACTGAGCCAAAATTATTGCCTAAAAACTTAGTTGTAATTAAGTAAAATAAAAAAAATTAGTTGTAAGCAAATCAAAAATGGAGTTTTTAAATTCCGTTTTGAGAACCAGAAGTTTCAGAAAAATTAAAAAATTTTCTGCAAAATAAATTTAAAAAAATTGAATTTTAAAAAAAAATTTTGATTTTTTTGTTTTAGGTCATTTCTCTACCAACATTTTTGTCCAATTGGTCTACATTAGTATGAATAAAAAAACTTTTAACCCGATCAATGGATAACGTTTCTCTTCTATTGGGAGGGAAAACTGAAACAAGCATAGCCAACAGACATTGTCAATTTGTCAATGAGCTCGAGGAAACAGTTTTACACTTCCGAATTTCAAAGAGACATATTTCACAGTAAAGCATTTTGAATTTAAAGAATCTTTATGACTGGCACTTCTTCATCAAAACAGTTTTTTTATTTTGCTGGGAAATCTTAAAATTAAAATACAATTTGAAACTGAAAATCATGAACAATTTATGGCCTTATATGCACTGACATGCGGGTAATGTTTACATCAATTAAACAATCGTCAGCCAACCAGGAATGAGCTGGCGTGTTTAATAGTGCGGCTAGCTTGCTCGAAAGCATATCATGCGTACTGTAAGACACTTTACAGCCAATATGATGCAGTTCTCCAGTCAAACTAATGAAAATGTCCAAACTATCATTCAGGAGGTCAATATATCCACTGATATGTTCGATCAAGATTTTGAAAACGTTAGTTTTCACGTCGCATCTGAAAATAGTTTTCACGTCGCATCTGAATTGTCTTTCCGCATAGTATTGAGTCAGAATTGAAGGAATTCAGAGAAACGGTTGATGTTGAGATGACTGCTTATGATTTTTTCCGCAGAAACAGGGCAGTGTACAAAGAGTTAGCCGAAGTCGCTAGAAAAGTTCCCAGTATTTTACCATCACCAGCATGCGCTGAGCGTGGTTTTTCAAAAGCTTCATTCTTAACCGAAGATAGAAAAAATCAGCTGAAGATGTGTAATCTAAAAGAGAGACTGATTATTTTTGGTTCTGACATATAAATTTGAAAGAATTTAAATTCTCAGACTTTTTTTTGTCAATAATTTAAATTGTAGCAATAATTTATTGTAATATAAATGGTCAACACTGCTGGAGAGCGTATTTTGCCTTCATTTTACTAAATGAATTTGAAATCAATTTTAAAAAAAAATCAAAAATCAGTCCGCGAAAACCTAACTTTGACCGTGAACAACTTCCAATACTTTTTTCTGAAAAATGAACACAACCAACTGAGATTTAGACAAGAGTAATGAGCGCAAGGAAACAGACAAAAAACTGACGTGTTTATTAGAAAAAACGTCAATATTCGAACTTTCAAGAAAAAAAATATGCCCTTAAATATGAGAAAAGTGGATCAATAGGTAAACTTTCAATTCCGCTGTAAATCTAAAAATTGGATTCCACTTTTAAAACCAGGAATCGCTCACGTTTCAGCTACTTCATTAATTAATTCAGTAAAATAGTGATTCTGAATTTCATTTTCTCATGCAAAAACTCGATTGTCTCGTAAAAGGTGTTTAAAACATGTTTTAAATATTTTTAAAAAGTTTATTAGGAAACAACGTTTTGGCCAATCCTGGCGTCAAGGATTCAATTTCCGGTAACAATTATTGCTCTTAGAGTGTTTTCATAGAAGCTAAAATGGTAGAACTAATAAAATTAGCATTATAAAAAAAGCTAATATATTCCTTTATCTTACCGTCTGTCGTAACAAGCAAGCATGTTTTTATTTAGGAAGCTAACTGGGAAGCCAACAAAAATCTTTATAAACAATTCCCTCCAACCGTTAAATTATCTTACTAATTAGCTTAAAGCCACAAAATGACAGAAAAAAAAGCGAAGTCTAGAGAAGTGCTGTTACCAATTTTTAAAACCATAATAAGCATCATGACGACTTTAAAATATTAAGATTACTTTTTGTTTAGTGAATGACTGTAACGTGCAAATTACATGTAGAAACAGCAAATTGTCTTGTCTGATTACCGGAGGTTACAACTTCTAACGGAAATTTTAGTCCGAACTGCATAACATATCGCCTGAAATATTTTTCTCAACAGCAGAGGCAGCAAGTCAAACCTCGAAAATAACAGAAAGGCAGAACCCGTTCAGAATATGCAAAGAGAAAACTCGCTTGACTGCAAAATTATAATTTCACAGTTGATTTCATCTAAATTGCAATTCTGGTCCCCAGAGTAATAATGGGTCGGGCTTTGGGCGCAATTTTCTAAGCTCATATTTGGGGCAAAGAAAGCGTAAAGGAAATGGTGAATAATATAAACATGTAAGCTAACTGCTCTTGCTAGAGAACAATTCACACCATTTGGACCATGAAAAGACCAGGCATGGAGATCTCTGCTGTTTATTTGGTCAATGAATTCAAGTTAAAAGAATTCATAAATAAATTAAGATATTTGATAAAACCGAAGAAAAAAAAGAAGCACAACGAAAATTTTAGAGCACAACGAATTGTTTTAGAAACGCATGAAAAAGCAGGTAGAAATTTTGCAGCCAGTTTCCTCTTACAGTCTAAATCTGCTCCACTGCTTTCAAAATGGTCACCTTTTGGCTCGATCAAGCCTAGGTAGTGGAACGAAATTTCCTTCGTATTTATCCTACCCTTGCTCAATTTCCATTTCCTTCCAACCCAACTTCGTTTCAAACCGTACCTACCCTGGCTTGTCATTTTCATTCGACTAGCTCTGTTTTGAAACAGAGCAAGACTAGGCGGCCCTTCAAAACACGGCACTGCAGTTTCGACAACAGTGGGGGTCCATTTAGCAGAACAGAACACACAAAAATATGGAATAGATATTACAAATTCAAATAGAAAATTCAGCGTTATGCCGTTTTTA